ACACCCCCACACCCCAACCCCCCCCACCCACCCTAACCCCAACCCCCCCCCCACCCCCGGCGGCGCCACGGCTAATATCTAAATATTATTTTAGTTATTTTATTAGGGTTATGTTAATTATTATGGATAATTTGGTATGCTTTATAATGGCAGGTTAAGGTTAAATATATGGAAAAGGGGGGAAAGGAGGTGTATTAAGAGCGGTGGTTGATTAAAAGGTTGGGGAATAGGTTTTGATTGTTAAGTTGGTGGTAAAATGTTAAAAATTAATAATAATTAATTAAAGGTAAAAAATAATGTTTATTTTGGTTATGGAATAAGTAATATATATTATAGGTTAGAAAAAGATGGGGTTTAAAACGTAATATTTTATATTAGAATTTATTTTATAAATACAACCGTATATATTAACGTTTATAAATTAAAAATTACTTAATATTATTATATTAATATTTATAATTATGTAAATACGTATGTAATAAGATATATTAGTTTTTTTTCGGTTTTATAAACCAAAATTTTTTATATTAATGCGTTAAATTATTTTATTTTTATTATTTTTAATTTAATAATATTTTATATAAGTAAATTATATAGTAATATAAGGTTAGTAAATATTTTTATATAATTAGTGTTATGTTTTTTTATATAAATATTTTTTTATATTAATATATTTTATAATGTTGATTATAATTATTTTAGTAATATTTTAAAATTATTTATTGTAAATTTTTTAAATTATTTTTAATATTTAACTATTATTTTTTTAATTAAATATATATATAATATTTTATTATTAATAGTTTTAAAATTTATTAATATAAAGAGTATTTATATTATTTTTTATTTAAACATAATTATTTAAAAATTAATTCTTTCCTATTATATTATTATATGGTTAAATATTATATTAAATATAAATATTTAACCAAAAAAATAGTTTAAAAATTTATATAATTTGTTTATATTCTTTTATTTAATAGGATTATATATAATGTAAGTTTATACCTATATTAAACTTTTTATTTATATTTTTTAAGATATAATAAAAGAGATTAATAATATAAGTAATAATAACTTTATGGATAGGGAGTTTAAATTATAATAATTTATTAAAAATATAAATAAATTATATAAGAAAATAAAGTTATAATTTATTATAAACTATAGAAATAATATAAAAAAAATATTAATATTGTTTATATTATTATAATAAAAATCTTTAAATTAAAATAATAATAATTCTTCTAACCTTATTAATTTATATTACTACTATTTAATAATATTAATTAATATTAATAGATACGTATATAAATAAAAATAATAATAATAATAATAAAACAATAATAAATAAATTAATAATATTAAAATTAATATATTGAAATATTTAAAAAAAGAAGAATTTATTTAAGATTAATTAAGTATAACATATTTTTATATTTTAATAATAGTGGATATTTAACCCCTTTATTTAATAAAATCGGGTATTTTATCTTTTCCTTCTTTATTAGCGATAAAGGCACCTTATTATCAGTAAGGTGCTTTTATATCAATGTTATATAACTATTAATAAAGGTTAAATTTATAACCTTTTTAAATATCTTTAAAAAATTATTTAATATTATAATAAGCTTTTAAATCTCGTATTATATCCGAAATTTATTCAAGCACTTTAACTACCACGTAAAATTAACTTTAACCTTTTTAAAAGCAAAATTAAAAATCATATAAAAATTTATATATAATAATATAATACCCGTAATATTTAATAATGATATATTAAATTAATTAATTTGTATTATTATATATAAATTAATATAAAATGTAAAATAAAGTTATTAAAGTAAAGTTATTAACATTACTTTATACATATTATTAAATAATAAGATTTTAAGATTATGTTATTATATATAAATATACCATTTAAATATCTAAAATAATCAAATTACCTCATTAATAATTAAGTTTTTATTAACTTCGTAATTAATATCGTAAACCTTTTTATATTATTACAACTTTTTTATTAATAATTAAATATTTATAAACTCTTTTTATATTTAACTACAAAACCCTTATTTAATATTTAAAACATCTTATACCGTAATTATAATATTTTCTTTATAAATCCTCGTATATAATTTATTACCGTTTTAATTTAAATCGAAAAAATTATTAAAATTAACCTTAAACTTAAATCTTATATAAGGTTTTAAATCGTTAAATTTAAAATTATTCCTTAATAAATAATATACAATTTAATAATTAATCAACAATTTAATCCTTAATAATTATAATATAATTATTTTAAAATTATAATTATTTTATTAAAATTATTAATATTTAACACTAACCGCGTTAAAGCTTATTTTATAATTATAAAAAGCTTTTTATATATTAATAAACCACATATCTTACTTCTTTAAATAAGATATTATAACTTTATACTTACATTTACATTTTTAAAAACTTTATTACCTTTTACCACCCTTTTATATAATATACCTTTCCCTACAATTGTATACAAATTAATAATAAATAAATTTACCATTCCAATTAAATATGCCACCAAAACTTTTAATTCGTACATTTTTCTTAATATATACGTTAAAACCTTAATCTTAAACAAATTAACAATAAACCTTTTTAACTTAATTATAAAAATTAAAACACTTTTTTAAATTATATTAACGTAACAAAGACCTTTTACAAATAATTTAAATAACCTTTTAATTATTTATTAAAGATTTAATTAAAAAATTTATACGATTCGAGACTAAGGAGGTAATATTATTAAAGTTAATAATAAATTATATACGTTAAAATAAGGTTTAAAATGGTAAAGTAATTATATTAAACCTTAAAAAGGTTACAGGCTTAAATTTAATAAATAATATTATATTAAATTATTTACTAATAAATTTAATAATAGAAATAATTTTAATATTATTTTTATTTAATTAATTATTATATTATAATATATACAACCAGTATATATTCTAAAATTATTAAAGATTTAAGTTAATCCCAATATAAATTGGATGGGTTATGGGTTTTAGCTCTTATCTTACGTAGAAAATGGATGGATTGGCCTTTTATTAAAATTTACCTGGCCTTTTAACGTTATTAAACAACACCCCTTAGAAAATAACCAATGCACATCGCAAAGGAGGGGGGATGAAACTTCATCGTAAAAAAACACGCATAGGGAACTTGTAGTACAGGTATAGATGTGAATATCTTACCATCACAGCCCGATGAAAACGGCGATCGAATCCTGCCTAGATGCCTAATGACTCACCCTCGTACAGCCTAGCTTCAGTTACCCAATATGTCTTAAAAAGATCGCCCACGAGAGAAAATCACTCTCGCCATCCATCATTGACATCCTATCGGTTTTGTCGCGCAAAATTGGGACACAGCATGACAACAAAGAAACCTCTGCTATTGGATGGCCGAACGGGGGAAGGCGGTGGCCAGATTGTAAGGATAGCCTGTGGCCTCTCGGCCGTACTATCACGACCTATCCACATTGACCATGTGAGAGGGAATCGTCCAGGGCAACGAGGAGGCGGTTAGTGCTTACTTTAAGTTGCCTCGAGAATACGTCTTGTCTAATCAGTTGGGTATAGGCTTGAAGGCACAGCACGTAGCGGCCATCCTATGGCTAGCGGAAGCTACAGGAGCTGAAGTCGATGGGTTGGAGGTCGGCAGCCAATCTCTGGAGTTTAGGCCGTTGCAGCCTCCCACCACACTTCAGGAGCGCAAATTCGAGATCGTCGCCGGAAGCAGTGCCTCAAGTACTCTGCTTATCTTCCAGGCAATCTTCCCTTTCCTCTTATTTGCAGGGAATGACGCCGGAGAGCCTATCGAGCTCGAGATTCACGGTGGGACAAATGTGTCTTTCTCACTGTCATATGAGTATTTCGATCAAGTCTTGTTGCCTACCTTAAATGATCGGTTCGGTATCACTGTTGAGAGACAGTTAAAGACGCGATCCTGGGCAACAGGCCCTCTGAAAAGGGGGTGCATTTGGCTAAGGCTCCAGCCTCTTCCGCCAGGAAGAACCTTGAAAGTTCAAGAACCGTGGGACAGGCCAATCACCACGGAAGACTTCAAGCTCAAGCAGGTTGACGTGAGCATGCTTGTGCCATATGCTCTCCATAAACCACTAGAGAAGGCCCTTGCGAGCGATCTTGGGGAACTATTCCCTGGCGTGGACATTAATTTCCTATTATTGGAAGACAGCGGGCATGATGCTCGTATGTACACCTTGCTAGTAGCTCACTCCCATACTGGTCTCCGTTGGGGCCGTGATTATCTACACGATAAATCTCGGAAGAACAAGACGCCAGAAGGTCTGAGCATAGAAATATCGCGGAAAGTCTGCCATGACCTTTTTGAAGAGATTGCGATCCGCAGAGTCGTTGACGAGTACCTCCAAGATCAGTTAGTCGTATTCCAGGCATTGGCAGACGGTCGAACAAGCTTCCCTCGAGGTCCTAAGCCAGCAGATTCACAAGGCAGTAGTCCTGACGGCATAAGTCATCTCGAGACATCTCTCGGGGACTTGAAGTTGGACAAGAAGATGAGGAAGGATAAGACACATGAACCTTTCGGAGATGGGTCTATGCACACTACCACAGCCAGATGGGTAGCGAGTAAGTTGCTTCCTACGGTGCAATGGTTCAATAAGGGGACCATTGTAGATGGTGCTGGTGTGTCTCTTTCTTAACTTAGTGGCATAATATGTCCTATCATAGGTAGCCGCCAGCCTCGCCCGATGTGTTTAGAGTCATGTGACATTACCAGCCTGTATAATATATTAGATAATACCACAACGGTTGCTGTTTGATATTATTCTTGCACTAGTTAATATATACACTAGTTAATATATATGAACATTCTACTAGCGATGCCGAGAGGGTTATATTAATTTTAGATTCCCACTCTCCGCTGTGGGATTAATCAATTGCTTGTTCTTTCGGATTGTTATCCCTTTCCTAGCTCAGTTTTACATAACTATCCTCAGTCCAATTGATGGTTGTGTGACACTGACATAAAGGCACCTTACTGATGATAAGGTGCCCTTATCGTCGATAAAGAAGGAAGAGATAAGATACCCGACTTTAGTGGATAAAGGGGTCGGGTATCCACTATTATTGGAATATAAGAACATGCTCTACCTAGCTAGCCTCAGATAGATTCTTCCTTCCTTAGACATCTTAATACATCAGTCTCAACACCATTGATTTACTTGCTATTGCTTTATCGTTATTATTGTTATTCCTATTTACGTACGTACCTACCAACACCAATCTATTTATTTTAACTCTTACGAGAGAAATGCATCAATCAGCTATATACCTGGTAGTAGGTTGGGAACATTTCCTAATCTATTATGGAATACATCAGGTGCTTCATTATTTGATCGTTAATATTAATTAACATTCCTAGACACTTCCAATTAGTTTCAAGCTTTTCAGTATCAAGTCAATTTGATTTTAATTTGATTTTAATGTTACCTAACTGCTATGACTTATAGCAAACATGACGCGAAATGACAGACAACCTTACACTACCCGTTAAGCTTCTTAAATCATATTATTCCTAACATAAATTGAAAATGACACCAACGAATGATTGCTTAAATGAAGTAAAAAATTATGATTTACTTGTAATATCGTGGCTTGTAGTTCTGTTTTTCCTTTAGAAAATGTTCAGTTTTGTTTATTGGGCTTTCACAATGTGGTGGATTGAGAAGCACTTATCAACTCATGGTAATTTATCGGGTATTATAACGCAATGCCTCTTGATATGACGTATGAAGATCACCTTCTTGGCTTATAATTAAATTTATTCTTACTATGTACCACTTCCCAAACGACAACAATAGAAACACGCACCGCCCATTTGCACATGTTTAAACAAACACCGCTTTTTACGGGAAAACCAAAGCTGTTCCTAAGTTTTAGTAGTTACCTTCTTAAGGGACCAATCAATTAGACTTAAATCCTTGTGGTAAATGGGAGGTAGTTATTGGAAATATCTAAGATACGAACCGTCAATGACAGAAACGAAACTATCAAGGAATAAGCACAGGAATTTCATTTTGCCTATACCGATAGCGACGACCATCAAGATTTCGCACCAATTAACAAATCCCCATGGTCTTGGGACCCGCAATCCCCTGATAGATCTGGGGGAAAGTTGGAGAAGCGGAGTTTTCAAGGATCATATCAACACTAGGGGTTTTCATCTTCTCCACAGCTCGGGATATTCTTCACCATAAAGCTCACCATAAGTATGCTACTATACCGAGGTCAAAATGAATGCAACGCTCGTGCTTCAAGGCTGGTGGCACTGCATCCGAGATGCGAGGATAGGCTCCCCTAAACCTATGTTTACCAATTTCGGCGGACTTCGGCGGACTTCAGTAAGAGTCGCAGAACGTTCAGCACGATGTTGTTCCCGGGTCTCCTTACTATCTTATGTTTCATATTGCCATATGGGCAAGGGTTAAACATACCATCACGCGATGCCGGCTCTGGGGTTGGGCCCAGAGGCCCCTTAGAGGGACTGGTAAGGAAAACGTCAAACTCCTCTCTTGGCCATTATTTAAATTCGACTAGGTTACGTGGGACAAGTACTCTATGATAATTCGAGGAGAACGGATGTTCATATTCTCAGCAGAGTTTCACCCTTGGCGCCTGCCGAGCCCAGGTTTGTGGTTGGACATCTTTCAGAAGATTAAAGCCTTAGGTTTCAACGCGGTGTCGTTCTATACCTACTGGGGTCTTGTAGAAGGTACACAAGGACAAGTGCGCTTCGACGGGGTGTTCGCCCTCGATGAATTCTTCAAAGCTGCTGCAGAAGCAGGCATCTATCTGATCGCCCGACCCGGCCCGTATATTAACGCCGAAACAGCCTTAGGAGGCTTCCCGGGTTGGACGGCGCGGATCAAGGCCCCTCTTCGGGGGAGTGACCCGGAATTTGTTAACTCAACTGAACTCTACGCTGCCACCGTGGGTAAGTTGATTGCCGATGCTCAAATTATAAATGGCGGCCCCGTTGTAATATTACAGCCCGAGAATGAATACGACACATGGCCAGATGTGAACAATACCGATTTCCCAACTCAGACAAACAGCGACTACATGGAACATGTCAAGCAGCAATTCAAGAAAGCCGGGAATGTGATCCCGCAGATGGTTAATGACCATCTTTATCAAGGGAATTGGGCACCAGGTAGTGGGATGGGCGAAACAGACCGTGGGTATTATATCCAGGCTTGGCTTATGATTCTCAGCTGATCATTGATTGAAGTATATGGTATAGATGCATATCCTCTTCGATATGACTGTGAGTACCACGGATATTCTAATGTTGAATTTGCCTTCTAACTGTACAATAGGCGCCAACCCTGACATCTGGCCCAAAATTCGATGGCCAGAGAACTGGCAGACTATGCATCAAAAATATAGCCCCAATACTCCATTCTTCGTAGCCGAATTCCAAGGGGGCTCTGGAACTGGTTTTGGGAGCGTTAGTGCAGATGCATGCAACGCGCTCGTCAACCAGGAAGCAGTCCGTGTCCTGTGGAAGAATAACTACAGCTTTGCTGTCAAGATCTTTAATGTGTACATGGTTGGTGACTATTCGGCCCTGTTGACGTATCAAACTAAATCTCGTATACATACATAGACGTATGGAGGAACGAACTGGGGTAACTTGGGGTATAGAGGCGGCGATAGCTCGTACGATTATGGCGCGGCCATCAAGGAGAATCGACACATATGGCGGGAGAAATATTCAGAGGAGAAGCTAGAGGCCAATTTCTTCAAGGTATCCCCTGTATACTTGACTGCGGTACCAGGGAATGCGTCAAATGGATCCTACGCCTCGACCGAGGAGATCGCTACTACACCGTTGTTCGGAACTGACTCCGAGACGAACTTTTACATCATTCGACATGCTGATTGGACGTCTACAAATACGACAACTTATAAGCTCATCGTGCCGACAAGCGCCGGCAACATATTGATACCCCAACTTGGCGGGGAGCTAGTGTTGACCAGAAGAGATTCAAAGATCCATTTGACCGACTACGACGTCGGTGGAATAAATTTGATTTACTGCACCGCAGAGATATTCACGTGGGCCCAAGATGGACTGGGCAAGAGAACACTGGTCCTGTACGGCGGAGCTGGGGAGAAGCATGAATTCGCTATTAGTCTAACAAACTTGGCTACAAGATCTGCCCAGACGAGTCCCAACGATACCACGGTGAAGACCAAATTGTTGGATCCGAATACGCTGGTGGTTCAATGGGAGGTTTCTGTGGAAAGAAAGATCCTGAGACTTGGAGAGGAACTGGAGATTCTCTTGTTATGGCGCAATGACGCCTACAACTATTGGGTTACGGAATTACCAGCAGAAGCTCCAATCGCGAATTATTCTTCTCCGTCTAAATCCACCGTCGTCGTGAAGGGTCCTTATCTAATCCGTACGGCAGTCCTCGATGGGGAAGTGCTTCGTCTTACTGGAGATATTAACGGCACTACTGACATTGAATTAATCCACGAACCTTCTGGTAAAGTGAAAGCTTTGTCGTTTAACAACAGAGACCTTGGCGCAAAGCACAACAGGCACGGAAAGCTTGCTGCACAACTGGACTTCCAAGCTCCCAATCTTACTCTGCCCGATTTCGCTTCCTTGGAGTGGAAATATATCGATTCCCTTCCTGAGATCCAGGCCTCCTACAACGATTCGAAATGGGTCCAATGTGATAACCCGTCGACTAATAACCCACAGCCCCTACTTACCCCGACATCCCTTTATGCGAGCGACTATGGCTTTCATAGCGGTTCGCTTATATACCGTGGGCATTTTACGGCCAACGGAGATGAGTCTAATTTATTCCTCAACCTAACAGGCGGAGACGACTTCGGCTACTCACTCTGGCTCAATGACGAGTTCGTCACATCCTGGGACGGAACAAGCGGCGACTCCACGCACAACGATACCATCTCAATGATATCACACTCTCTCGAGGCCGGTAAGTCCTACGTCTTCACGGTATTGATCGACCACATGGGACAGGATGAAGAAGCGCCTGGAACGGACGCTATTAAGGCGCCGATGGGAATTATCAACTTCGACTTGGACGGACGCGAGAAGTCGGATGTGGCGTGGAAAATAACGGGAAACCTCGGCGGCGAATCGTACTATGACCTAGCGCGCGGCCCTCGCAACGAAGGCGGCATGTTCGCTGAAAGACAAGGATACCATCAACCAAAGCCGCCGAGCGAGGACTGGCAATCTTCGAACCCCGTCACAGAGGGCATACGTTCGGCGGGTGTCGGGTTCTTCACAACAACGTTCTCTCTCGATGTGCCCGCAGGTTACGATGTGCCGCTGAGTTTCGTATTCGCCAACTCTTCCGCGGCGGCCGCCGCCGGCCGTCATCGATGCCAGCTCTTCGTTAACGGCTGGCAGTTCGGGAAGTACGTGGCTAACCTGGGGCCCCAGACCGTATTCCCGGTGCCGGAAGGTGTGCTCAACCACAACGGCGTGAATACCGTGGCGCTCACGCTGTGGTCGCTCGATGAGGCTGGTGCTAGGCTTGATAGCTTTGCGCTCGAGGCTGAGATGCCGTTGTGGTCTGGGTATAGGAAGCCGTGGCAGGCTCCCCAGCCTGCGTGGCAGGAACGCCAAGGGGCGTATTAGAGCAAGCACATGGCGTGGGCAATATCTGTACTTCGTGAATCGCACTTTGTTGTGGGCATCAGACTCGGGTTCATCGGATGATCGATTCGGTGTGAGATATGTACAACTATAGAACACCTCGGAATGGTATCGTAAGCAAACAATAGACCATGTTGTTGCTCTGGAGCCGGACGCCTAACGATCGCCTCACCGTTGCCTCGTTGCTGCCTCGTTGCTGCCTCGTAAGAAGTGATTTATCGTATTCGTGAACAGATGCCGACTTTATTCAAACCTGCTGATATGTACCTGTCTTGGTACTAGCACAATGCTGCCCAACGGTCAAGGGCCAAGGGCCAAGAGCGTCAAGGAGTCATTTTTGATCGGCCGTAAATTTTGGTTAATAATAGCACCGAGTACTTGCACATTGCCACATCACCTCCCCTGAACAAGTGATGCTATTGTTTCGCCAACCCACTTTTCAGCTTGCTTAATCCCTCCGGGATTTCCAATTTCGATCTCCAAAGGCACCCTACACAATCGCTACGTAGGCAAAGCGGTAGGCGTCTACGGCATGTATTGCAAGCCCAAGACCATGTTTGACCCTAGGAAGCTTCAGGGATAGTCTACGATAACCCTGCCTGCTGGTCTCATCCGCACAGACGATACGTAGATGAAAACAAAGCAGGTAAATGTTCGGTAGCGGGTCGATATCCAAGCCCGCCCACTTTCACGCTCCAAAGCTCGGGCCGGTGCCATAATGGTTCAATCCACCTCGGGGAGCCCTACGACCGGAAGATATATCAAAGGGGTTGACCCGAGAACTTGGCTCATCTAGCGAAGCACCCTAGATCTCCGGTAAGGATAGACCAGGTAACGTTGGGTATGGTGTATTCCTACCTAACCATTGCTTAAACATAGAGTTAACTACCTAGGTTAGTAACTAACTAACTACCTATCATACGATTATGATATCCAAGCTTCCTTCGAATGTTTCAATGAGGACCTGACTATTCAAAGCAATGTCCTAAACTTGAAATAGCTATATGTTTCCAGCCCAAGCTCTATGTCGTACTCGGCTAGGAATGTATGATCTTGTATGTAGTCATTTGTCGTATTCAGCTCCTCGTTGTACAACTACGGAATCTTTTTAAGATTTCTCACACCGATTTTTCCTTTGATATACCTACATCTGTATTACTTACTAGTATCCTATTGGGTCTAGATATAAAATCTTACCGACTCACGTAAACTTGAAGTCGCACTATGCGGGCCGGTGGCTTAAATATAAGGGGATGGCCCGTAGTAAATTCCTTTCCAGCTTGATGAGCCCCCTGGTGATATTCTTTGTATCAGCCCGGAAGGACCGGTATTTGCTTTTGCAAAACTGGTCCTCGGGTTTATTACCTATGGCCAAGTGTCCGAGTTTTACTCGTATTGTTGTATGGATCTTAATTGGTATACCAAGTTACGAAAATTTGCCGGATCCTCGCTAACCATATTTCTACCTATGTATATGCTCAAGGATCTCCAAAGTTGCAGCTTTCTATGTTTATGCGGTTCTTCTAGCTCGGGCCAACTATAGGTAGCTCCTTAGATAAGAGGTAGGTAGGTAGATAGTCTGTGCCATCGTTGTTTGAAAGTTACCTAAAATTACGCTACAACTACATACGTGTTTGCTCACAATGCTCATTAGATATCGAATGATCAGGTGTAATCCGGTTGTCTCGTTTAATTAAAGCTTCCTCCACGCTGGGCTGGAATCAAGGGTCACGGATGTCCTGGGATTGGTACCTAACGAAGGGCCGTGCTACGCTATTTCACGCGTACCATTTGCTTGGTATCTTCGATAATCAATACCGCGGTATTACAAGTCCAGCTCAACTTTAGAAAGGTAACGGCTTGTCGTATTAAGTTGGATATATATTTTAATACAATGATTAATGGATAGGTGGTAGTTTTAAGAACGAAGTAACAATACGCATGTGATTATTTCTTTGCTTAACTAACCATTTAACCTTGAAACGAAACATTTACCCCAGATAGTTTAAGGCAAGACTCCTCTAAGGGATCCAGTCAACGTATTATATTACTAGCTAGTGGTATTAGAAATAAAGACACCTTAAGATTAACGACGTTTTAACGGAATAGGTAATACCCCCACTGAGTTAATAAAAGTCGAGTTGATTTATACACGTTGCTAGAAAGTTACTGCAAAGTAACTGGACTTTATAAGGTTATGCTTTATAATCAAAGTCAAGCACCCCATTTTAACAACATTACAGTCATGTTCGATATCGGGGCCAGATGAAATTTTGTTTGTTTAGTGTTAGGTTGCCACGTCATGTATTTTAAAACTTTCCTACAAAATACCTACGGGCTTAACATTGGAGAGATGGCTTAATAATAAGTTATTTGAAAGAAAAGGTAAGAATTTAACGATTTGACATTATTATATGCTATAGAAACTACAAGTGCCTTGTAACTATAACGCAATGTACAATCTACTTTGCATACATGGTTAAAAAGACCGGATAATTTGATTATAAGTTAGCATAACAGGTATCACTACTATATAATACTTCGTATTATATTATATATATAAAAAAGTGTTAAAAATAAGTAAAAGGTACTTGACACATGTCGCTTTTTTCTTATCTCACTTTTCTTTAACATTTTATTTCATTTTATTCTTTTCAATACAATATTTGTGTTAATAAAGTATTATTAACTCTGTGCCACAGTATGTAACGCCGCGTGATAATATCCTGATGGTATTACTATCCAACCAGAACAAATCATCCAAGTAATAATGAAACCGGGCAAGCTCTCGGGTTCAAGCCGGCGGAAAAATCTCATAACATAAGACGTCTTGCTTAGGGATGCCTCTCCGACACATGCGCTGTTCTTAATGAATAGGAGACAAACCGGACGTCAGGCGGTATCCAGGGGGAGTAAGAATGGCGGAACCTATCAACCCGCACCGATCCCGCTTTCGCTAAATGGCTTGTAGAGATGACCACGTCGTGATACCAACGGCTGACTAAGCGGGGATATATTACATACCTACCCAGCTATTAAGCCTCTTCAGGGGGGAATATTTGCGAGAGGCATTTTGCTTCCAACGCCCCCTTTTTTTTATAGTAGCAAAAACCTCCAAGTATAGGAACCTGTTACATTCTTCCTGTAAATCTTTATTTGAATACTAGAATAGTGGGGTGCTATAGGAATCAACTAAGTTGTATGTTAACTAACTAAAAAGAAACTAGGAAATAGTATCCGTGATAACCCTTTGAGCACAATTGCTTATTTCATAATACTCCTCCCACTAAGAAGGCATTATAGGACAGATATCCGTGTTGGTATTAGTTTGCGGTCAATGATAAGATATTTGACATTGTAACCCTCCCGCAGCAGCTGGGTGCAGATGACTGCCTTTTCGTGTGTAACGGCCGAATGTAACCGTAACAGCAATCAGCCTCGTCCGGGATCCCAGCCACTTAAACAAGGCTGTCTACGCCGTAAAGTTTTTTGAGCTGGGGAACGTAATACCGAGGTGCCACTAACAGCAGGGTTACAGCAGCACCCTCAAGGGAGGATGATAAGGTATGCTATAACTAGCTCGACCGCTGCGGCGCTTCCGAAAGGATTCGTGTGATAAGTCACGAAAGCGATATTCTGACCGACGTCCCGCTCACCGGTGAATTATATGTGTGTGTGAATTTAGAAGAGATTGGCCTGGCTGAGCGGAACGCGCGCATCGTACCTGCAGGTTGATCGGAGAGCCAAACACATGGACGGCAATTAATGGCGCGAAAAATAATCAGGGGATTGCCACTACTGACGCAGCTCAGCTTATGAGGTACAATACACTAGGTAGAGAAAACACTTAACACTGAATAATTCGCGCCCTTTAATAGCGAGTTATCTGAACTTGAACGAAGACTTATGACGTAACATTCCCGTGCGCCTGCGCCTGCGCGAAGAGACGAAAACCATATGAGAACCTTATGGATGAATACTAAATTAAGCTCATAAACGAATGACATTATGTTACCCCCGAGAGCCTCGTAGCCGGGCTCCGACTCGGTTAGGCCATTGAGCCAATCGGGATAACGAGAATGACGACTTCCTAAATAGGAAGCCTCCAGAACGATACTCGGTCTAGAGCCTAGAGAGCTAGAGAACTAGAAAACCAAGAAAATGACAGATAGAAGATACCCACGTGAACTTGAAATATACAAGTTGAATATACCTAAGAGATAAGCGCTGGGGAACGTTTCAATATTTCTCGTAATAGACGCCGCCATGTGGCTAACTGGCGTCAGAGAAATAATCCATACAGCGTCTGGTCTCTTTGGTCGTTCAGCACGCTTCAAACCCGAAAGACTTCTCTCTATTCGGGGTCTTGAAGCCTTGAAGCCTTGGAGGTGCGAAAGAATCCTTGGGTTTTCACGAGGCCTCGGCTCTTTTGAAGAAGGCAAAAAAGTAAGGCAGCCCGGTGTGAGCACTTGCGCGCGTAGTGCACATGGCTTTTATTGAAAATGTGGAGTTGCTCTATATGGTATGTAGTTGTTATCTTTTAGGCCCTTTCTCGTCAAGCGAGCCCTGGAACGTGCTGTATGTAGATCGGCGAAGCACTTGTCGCAGGAAAGGGCGGGGAATAGAGACTTATCAACTTTCAGCCGGATGCGACCCTTCTATGAGGGATTCTTAATTTGACCCCAGGCATCAAATTGCGTCAGGTTCCTCATGACACTAAGACATATGAATTCTATAGTCGCTAGCCTTCCTATCCGTGAGGAGGTCACGGGGGGGGGGATTGCTGTGGTGATGCTTGCGCTTTGCATCCTGGCCAATAGTTGGTCTCTGGGTATAAGAAAAGCGCTGTAGGTAAGCAGGTCACACGACCTCCAACAATCCCCGCAGGAGAGTAGATCTTTAAAGCCGGAGATGAGGAAAAAAATCTACAAAAGGAAATGAAAGGTTTCGATGGCGCAATGTGAACAGGAAATACTTAACTGCGCGCAAACAGAAAATGGCAGTTGGTCTAGGGAGGGGGCCAACTAAACATTAAACATACCTAACAACATGCCTAACATTCCTGCCTAGGTCGGTAAGCTGCTTTGATCTCACAGCACTTCTAACGGGGAGTTTCCGTATGGCTAAAGCCTAGCGCATCGAATTTGACACTCTTCGGTCTTCCTCACAAAGCATGGCGTAGCCGTCCAGTGGACCAGCGACCACAGTAGCACCGTCCACCGCTCCAAAGATCGGTAGGTTATAAAATCTAAGATAGCGGTGTGCGAAGAGTGCTGGAAGTAGACGGCATATCAAGTGCAATGCTTGCAGAGCCCATGTTGATCCACCAGAGTCTGACTAGACTTCCTCAAGGAACGCTGCGCTTTTGGTAGGAATATTGCGCTCTTAATAGTGTCGAAATGGAGAATTTGTACCATGAAAACGAGTCGGATGATGATTAAGTGCCGAGTAATAGCTGGGCACAAAGCAACCGTGGATCTTGCGAGTCAGTGACGACATCTAAGTCAAGTGACAAGGGATGGTTATGATCGGTGATGCTCCCTGGGAAGGGGTTTGGCTATATGTCCTATTTTCGCCGTTGCATCGTTACTCTCCGCTAGGGTAAGTACTCCGTCAAATTCAGATAGTGAATGCGGATAAGGATCTGTCCCCGTCGGGTTAGAGATGAGAAGCTCGATGGAAACCCCCCTGACTAGATAGCGCATTCTGAGCATTCTAGAACCCTAGGCAATTCTAGTAGCAGAAGCTAGATTCGCCGAAGACGTGGGGGGAGACAAATCGACGCAAAACCCTTGCTAGATACATATACTACACATGAGGAATTCAAAATCCTTTTCATTTGAGAGTAGTATGTATTCGAGGTATCTGTGCGAGTTGGCAGCCGCACGGGTACATGGCTGTAACCAGTAGAGGGGACACTGCCCTCTGGATGAATGCTGGCCGCACTCACGATCGACCTAAGTAAGCTCATGAGTGGATGCATACCTCTCTATTATATTGTTATCTTTAAAGGTCTTGTAAGCTCTTCGTAGACTAATGAGATTTGCCCATATGTAAGTGCGTACGATCCGGGTCCGCGACCCGGTCCACCACTCATGTTGTTGCTGGTGGCTGTTAGTGGTTGTTAGGTAGGTAGTCTTCAAGGCCAAGGATTAATAAGGTGGACGATGAAAAAAAAAACCATGTCATAAGTCCTGTCCGAGTTCCTGGGGCAATCCGAGACGACTAAATTCCTTGGATAGAAGCTAGGCTGGCCAGCGGCGCCATAGACTTTATGGAACTACCTAGTTAGTACCTAGGTTAAACTAAAGTTAGGTCAATCTGAAGCCGCCTGTATATTTCTCTCAAAAGAATAATGAAGTTTTGAGCTTGCGTCATGGACACCTATCTGGTAGTTCCCCCTTCAATCTTTGAAACCGTTGGCAGATGAGGTTTTAGAGGATTCACAAGGAAGTATGTAGGATGGACGGATATAGAATGGAGTCTAGATGATAACGGCGAAAAAAAGCCGAGGATGCTGAACCTCCGGACTTCGTAAAGTCTGCTAGGGTCCTTGATCTTTAGCGGGTCGTATCCACCGTAGTCCCCTAAAGCGTTAGTGCTTGCTTTCTACCGAAGCCGCCAAAAGTCTGCCTCTATGCACCTATTACAGGTCATACATACCTGCATGTCTGAGTACCTAGCCCGAGGAACCTGGGGTTAATAATACATACCGACCCAAGGTGGAAGGCGCTTCGCGGCTCCAGACAGAGGGAAATAGCAATAATAGGTCAATGTAGCACCGCAACGGGTACCTTCATGTCCCATTGCCATCCCTTGAGAAGGCAGGTACGTTGATACAGGTACTTCACACTCATACTTACTTCCTTAGGCACATGTACCTACCTGATCTTTTTGCTCAATTTTCCCATCGAAGCTTGTGAAAATTACGCCCTTTCTCCTACACTTCATATTTCCTTCCAAATACATACGCCGTCTTCTAGACGCCAACGAGGTAGTTGACGATGGTCTGCCTACTTCTCTCCTGAATACTGATAATAACTACGCTGCATTCTTTTGCCTTTTGAGCTATTGACCTATTCTCCAAAATTCAACTATCCCTCTTAGTTCCGAGCTCAACTCTGTCTAGAGCGCATTGTCGCCGGCGGCACTGCTCAGTCTGTTTGCGTATTTACTCACCAACTTAGCTACCCTACAGTTATGTCCTGGTTTTGAGGATAGTTTCTGTCGTTGTTATTTTTTACACCTACAAGTTAACTCTACGGCTGCATAGGACGTCCGGGACCATCCCTTATCCAATTGCTCTCAGAGTTGTTGACGTGTTACCGCAGACGAGCAAACAGATGACCAGTTCCCGGTTGCTCTTTTTCGTGTCTCAGCATTCCGCTTGGGTTCCAGCGTGTTTGCTGGCTACCGGACCCCTTCGACGGGTCCAGAATACCGTTGTTGTTCTAGGCTACTCGATGCATTAGAGTGAGACCATTTGTGTGGAGCAGTACCCATCCTCGGACAAGCTGAATTCTCAGCGTGGACTAGCTTAGCGAGTATTGGGCGGCAAGTTCCACGGCGGCTCCAAGCTGATGAGGCGATCAGATCAGCCTTACCTGCTCAAGTTTTTAACATCTCAACTATGAATCACAGAGTCCAAAGGACTACGGAGTGCATAATCTTTAATACCCGTCGCTACCGGAAGCTCGCGGTAGAGCTGAGTTTCCTGGTCGACGATACCCGATTCGGCTGTATTCAGTCAAGATGGCGGACATGATTTTACCGAAGGGCATTGTGTTCAATAGAAACGATATTTACGAGGAGATAGCAAAGTACGACATTGTTCCACTAAGCCAGATACTCGCGGCTTGCCATGGTCAAGATAGTTCCTAACCATACTTGGTGTAATTAATACTAATTGAACCACAGTCTTTACTACAACATCTCGAGAACTTATCGATCCTACTGCGAGACGGCTCGAAAACTTCTGGACTCGCGTCTTAGGCGGTGACCGCCGTTATCTTTCAGGAAAAGTGATTGCACGGCTTTTTAAAAGTATCTCTGAGGAAGAAAGCTTCGTTAAATTACGGGGTCCGGCGAATCGATACGAGCCGGTAAGTTTTGTGGCGTTGAAGAGCGACCTATACTAACGGCGAATCCAAAAGCCTTCACCTGACTCGAAAGCCGACCCACCCGCAAAAGTCCAAGCCAAGCCTGAGACACCTGAACAAGGGTCTTCTGAGTCGGGGCTAAAAGGCAAGGCCGAGGCTATCAAGGCTGCGCCATCATCCGCGGTGAAACGGCCGCATCCCATCTTGAAGAAACCTAGGGGGCCTTCAAATTCCGGGCCGCGACCTACAGCTCGATTTGTATCGCCACCGGGATCTGATGGCGAGGCCAATGATAGCAAGGATAGTGAGCCTGCTTCATCTGGGAGCACGGCGGTGAATCATAGTGGCGATTCTAAACGGTCCACTAGTTCAACAGCCAAGGAGGAAAGGAGAAAGACGATCCATACCACACCAAAGAAGAAGACTGGTGGATTTGTAGCTTCTACTGCTTCTAGAAGAAGACCAGCTATGCCTCGGCGGATTAGTTCACAGTCTTCTACTGCCGTGAGCGGAGCCGAAGCCGGGTCTAAAGAAGGAAGCTCTTCGCTTGGTTCGAGACAGTCCGGATCACAAGGCTCCACTACGACAATTACAGAAAAGTCAAGCAAGGGGATATCCCCGACGAGAAGAGAAGGAGGTGAACAGCTGAGCGCAAAGGCAGCAGGAAAACGACTAGTCACTTTGTCATCCGATAAATCCAGCACTTCGAAACCAGGTAGTTCGCAGATAGGTAGTGCTGACAGTCAGCGGTTAATAGTCCAACAGGAGCGTGCCGATGCGAGCAAGTCGAAACTTGCGACAGACGACGCGAATAGCACTGTGATAGACGATACCAGTCCGGTGAAGACGAGTCGACGTGGGTCAGGTCACAGGCGGAGCGATACACAAGAACGACCGCGCCCGGATATCTTGCCTTTCATGGCTCGATCGAGATCGGACATTGGCTCTATACGACGTATCTCACAGGATTTAGTTGGCGGCCTTCCTCCGTCTCAAAGTTTAATATCATCGAGCACGACGATAGTATCGAACACGACGGCGCAAGGAACGATTATAGAGTTTGACGAGAACCCATCGCTCGGCGAGACTGTCGTGAGCACAACGCAAGGACACGAGGAAGATGCCGAAACCAGTTCCCGAAGGTCTGGTAGCTCCGTGCTTGATTCGCGATTTACTCCTACCCAACCAAGTCCAACACCGACCGTACCGCTTGGTCGGTCCAAAAGTCAACTTACCCTGCTCCTCGAGCGGCAGGGTGACAAGAAACCTCGTCGGTAATAGTTTCTATTGGTACACAATTCCATCATTACGTAGCCATGATTATTGGTTTAACAGGTACTATACAGCAATTATAGCGGGCTTAAAAAGTTATTAAGCATGTGTATATTTACGGTAAAATCGTGTTTCTCTAGAGGATATTAAAAGGGGAAAGGGAAGCTCAGAAGCATTGGCATTTACATACAATGCATCGCATCGGCGTTATCTTTATCATGGAAATCAGCGTTGGAGAGGTGTTTTACTTTTGGCGGCCACAATTGTTCGAGCCGTTATACGGAAGTGTACATGTACATGTCACCAGAATTCATGTTCATATTCAGGCTAGTTGGTTGGAAATATGTGCACATGTGAGGTCGTTTGACGTTGAGCCCGCGTTGCCGACGTATGGCTTAAGACTCTAGATAGCTATGCTGCTGTGTTGAGATCATCTGCAGACAAGCCCGACTGATAAAAGGAGTTGAGCGAATATTCCTTTTTGGGGTAACCCGGCTCTTCTTCTCCACTGTCCTTACCAACACCTGGAATGCTAGTATTGGCAGGTTAGCTGAAGGCTTAAAAGGTTAAGCTGTACACTATTAATTTGGCACGATTATTGAGTACCGTTGAGTGGTTTAGAACCCCTGCTGTGGATGGGCAGGCTCTTTGGGTCAGAGGGTCAGAAGGTCAGGCTAGGCTAATGGATCCCAATGGATCCTGGGTCGTACATTTTACATACATGTAGTATTAGCATCTGCATAGTAGGTACATTAGGTTAGGTCCCTAACTTACATGCACGGCATTTTACTGGCAGAGCTGCAAGGGCCAATGCCGCCGCAAACCGAATCAAATGGCGGAAGTAGAAGAGGAACATGGTCTGCAAGGATACGGTTAGGTATTTGACCTGCCGGGTCTAGAAATCTTCCATTCTTCCATTACGGCGGGCTCCGTCTTCCAAGCCGCCTCACCTAGGTACCTAGGTAGTAGGTAGCAGGCAAGGCATCCATATCGAAGAAAGGATTATTTCACCGATATGTCCCTAATTAACCCGAGCAACCCGAGCAACCCCATTTACGTGGCCCAAAGACCAGAGGCGAGGAAAGCAGCAACAAAGCAAGACTGGCGGACCATAGAGAGCTGATGATGATGTTGAGCGGAGAGACGGTGTGCAGTTCGAATAGCGGGTTTTACTACCGGAGCTTTGTCGTAATTGATTAGGTACATACATACCTAATCTACGGACATGTGGCCTCGTTGTGCGCCCGGTTGCATCCCGAAACTACGGGACCATAATACGCAGAGACACGAGCCAACCAACAACGGGCCAAGTTTTGTGGTTGTGATGGCAATATAGGTGTTTACATAGTCAGGGTCGGGACACGTTACTACATAGAGGTATACAGGTTACAGCCCTGATGTCGCGGCGGCGTTGGTGTAAGTTAGGAGAGGCGCCAAGTCCTTCCAGAACCGAAAGAATGCCACCCCACGTTTCTGCGGTCCCCTCGATCCCTGCGGATACCCGAAAGCGTTCACCGGAACTAGAACAGGGCTTTGGTTTGGTTTTGTCCGGTCGAACGAGAGCCAGGGCCCTGGCGCAAACGAACCTACCCCAGCCCGGAGCCGCGCAACGTGATGTCAACGGCCCCTGTCCGGTCGAGTCGGACTCTTGACGACAGCTATGTATGTATGTATGGATGGATGGATGTACACACTGGCGGAGCGGATGGATTATATGGGGCATATTGTATTTTTAGATTAGATACCTGACTTACGTGTATAAACTGGAGCAGTGGTATTGTTGTTGATAATAATAATATTTTATTTATTTATTTATTTTATTTACATCAGATGTATGTATAGCTTAAAGGCTTAGGTTAGTTAGGCGATGACGAAGACGTAGATTGATGTTGGTAAATGGGAATAAGCGGAGAATAACCCGTGCTATGTAGGTGCTAGGTGGGTTGCGAATAACGGATATCTAGGTAGGGACAATACCTCCTGTAGGTACCTACCTACTAATAGAACAGCCACGCCTTACATTACACGCCAAGGTCTTGTAGCTTACATACCTACATAGTAGCTGCTCGGCTACTGGCCAACAGTAAGGTCCGGACATGCCGAGATATATACTCTCTTGCCTCTTTTACGTGATGTTTTGTCGACTACTGGGTGTAGAATTTTCAAGGTAGTAATTGTTCCTTTTTTTTCTATTCTTTTTTTTTTCGGTCTTCTTACCTTTATAAGAAAAGCCTCCTTACGCATGGTACGATGCAACTCTAAACATAAAACATGCTACACTAGGTACCTAAGCTATCTAGTTATATTATCTAAGGTTTGACGAGATGTAACTAGATCTCGTCGCGCTGTGGTTCCGAGGTTATGGGGGCCAATAAGGCGGAATCCTGCCATCTTACAAGATCCAGGCACCTCAGATGCCGGCACGCGATTCGTCGAGGGGGGGGGGGCGGAGAGTTCGCACTTTGATTTTGATGTAAGCGCCTACGCGAATACACGGTATGCAGAGTCGTATAAGAGGATTGCTGATTCAGGAACGTCACCCGATGTCTTTGTCTTGGTTGGCTTAGCTTAGCTTGGCCTTTGCTTATGTGCTCTACTCTTACTAAACTACTAACCTCAAGTACGTTAGGGAGATATGTATGGAAGGTAGGTAGCTAAGATGCGGACCTATCAATCAATCAACTCTCCCTAGTAGGATCGTCCGCCATGTCGGCCCAGGTACGGCACGCTCGTTCGGATTTCGCGTCCGCCACCCTGTCAGCTTACACCGCATACCGCTACACGTAGTATATATACCTACCTATATGTATATAGGTATGCGTGTATGTAGATGCCGACAAGTGCAGACGTTGCCGTATGGGAGATCCCGCATCGTGTCATGTTTATATGTGAGATCCGTAAAGAGGGGAATTGATATATGACATGGCTTCCCTCGGGGGAACGAATGTACCGAACGTATATCCCTTGCGGAATTCGGCCTGCAAGTACCGACTTTCATGTACATCGCTCATGTTAGCCAAACAAGATCCCCATCCCTCGCAGCCCGTTGCTGCGGGAGGGGCCGCATTAACCCCACATCATTCACATTCCGTGTAACGACCCCCGTACTATACCTGCGTATATATACATGCACGTATATACTATATATTATATTATATTATATTATATTATATGTAGGTCATATGTCGGTCTCTACGTAAAAAAAGCATCTGCTGGCCTTGCCTACACCGACCTACGTATATGTAAGGAGCCGGGCGGGCACCGACGAAAATCATATTCATATTAATACCTACCTAAGCAAGTTGGGAACACGCGCAGTTGTCCCCATGCCTCTCAGAAGAGGACAGGAATGAAAAGAGACAAAAACAAAAACAAAAAAGATCATCCTACGTCGAATCCTTCGGTTTGGTCCCCGACGGTCCCGGACAAGCAAGCAAGGGGTGGACGGGTTGGCTTGGCTCCCGCAGAGTCACACTTTCGACGGCTACGCACATACGCGGCATCGTATATCTACATACATCTGGTTAGGAGAGGCGCCAAACATCTCGTATTCTATAGAACACCTAAACGTGCCTACTCTTGGGTTATGGGGGGATCTAAGAGCGTGGATGGACACTTGAGACAAGTGTGCTGATGCAGGTTTTTGAGGAGATTCGATAAGGAAGCGTTCGTCGGCCCATAAAACACAGGAGCAGCAACTCTTTGAATTTCACCTATGTAGATATGAACCTAATGAGACCTACACATAGCTTGTATTTCGACCCCTATCCGTTCCATTGCAGGGACGGGCCCTGATGAGCAGAACCCTAATGGTCCCGAAAGACACGACAATTGGGCAAAGTCCTCATTCAGGGGTGGAGGCGGTCAAAGTTTCCAGAACCCTTTTTTTCTTTTCTTCAAAGCCCGTTCACCGCCTTGAATTTTGCTGTTCCGCTATCTATGGTCTATCATAGGTAAGAAACCCGCAGATCGTATCGTATCGTGTGTCATTGCCATCCATCCCTACCTCTGAACAGCGCGTAAATTCAGTTCGTCGGGTGTGTTCGTTACATCCGGAAGACCCCAAATCTGGTATCACCGGGCTGGACATCGTTCCTACCCGACAGTGCGGCTCTCAATCCCAATCCAAGGTAGCGCCGCGTGTGCTGCGGCGGAATAACACCATCGTCCTGTGTAGTAGAATCGTGTTAGTAGGAGCTAGATACGTAAACGATGACGATGTGGGCAGTTTGCAGGATTGGCGCGTGACCCTTCACGGATCCCACGGTTACTCACCCATAGCCTCGCCGAGGAATACACAGCATCGCTCTCACGCTCGATCCGGTCCCTCAGCTCCGGATCTGACTTCTGGCCCACCGTCTCCATGACGTTAGCAAGCTGCTCTCCGCCCATAACCCCGATTCGTGCGTTAGGCCACATCCACAAGAATCGCGGACTATACGCCCGCCCGCACATGCCGTAGTTTCCAGCGCCGTAGCTCCCACCCACGACGACCGTAAACTTGGGAACATCAGCGCACGCGACCGCCGTCACTAGCTTAGCGCCGTGCTTAGCGATCCCGTCTCGTTCCGCCTGCGCGCCGACCATGAACCCGCTGATGTTCTGCAGGAAGACTAGCGGAATACCGCGTTGCGCACATAGCTCGATGAAGTGGGCGCCCTTCTGCGCCGATGTCCCGAATAAGATTCCGTTGTTGGCCACGATGCCGACGTGGTGTCCGTAGATGCTCGCGAAGCCCGTGACCAGGGTGGTGCCGTAGTCGCGCTTGAACTCGGCAAAGTGCGAGCCGTCGACGATTCGTGCGATAACTTCGTGGATAGGCAACGGTTTCCGTAGGTTCGTCGACGCTATACCGAGGAGTTCTGAAGCTGGGTATAGGGGTTCGGAATAGCTTGTTTGAGATGGGACGGCCTTGTGCGGCCAGTTCAGGTTGCTGATACATCTCCTGGCGAGCACAATGGCATGTGCGTCGTCTACGGCTAGATAGTCCGACACGCCGGATACGGAGGTGTGCATAGCGCCACCGCCAAGTTCTTCGGCTGATACTTCTTCGCCCGTAGCGGCCTTGACGAGAGGCGGACCGGCTAGAAAGATATGACCTTGTCCCTCTACAATGATGTTCTCGTCACTCATAGCAGGGACGTAGGCACCACCTGCTGTACATAGACCCATAACCACAGAGACCTGAGGAATTCCTTGAGAGCTCATCCTCGCCTGGTTGTAGAAGATACGACCAAAATGGTCTCTATCTGGGAAGACATCTGACTGATGAGGGAGGTTTGCACCGCCAGAATCCACCAGATATATGCAACTATTTCATCGTTAGACTAAATAGACCAGATCATACCAGATTATCTATCAGTTAGGCCATTAATAAAAGCTCCACTCACGGTAATTTATTCTCCTGGGCTACGGCCTGGGCTCTTAGATGCTTCTTCACAGTGATTGGGTAATAAGTACCGCCCTTCACCGTGCTGTCGTTGGCAACAATCATACATGTAACACTCTCTACGACACCAATCCCAGTAATAATACCTCCCGCGGGTACGTCTGCCTCCGGGTAGAGCTCGTGACCAGCCAGGGGCGACAATTCCATGAACGTCGTCCCGGGATCTACCAACGCCGTAACTCGGTCCCGTGGTAACATCTTCTTCCTCGCTATGTGTTTATCCCTTGCTTTCGCGGGGCCGCCCTGCTGTGCCGAGCGTGTCAGCTGCTCTAGGCGGGCCATGGCTTCGTTCATAAGCCGCTCGTTCTCCTTGAACTCGTCCGAGGTCGAGTCTACATTGGTCTGTATTACGGAAATGGCGTTCGCTTGATACGGGGCCGTATAAGACGCGACTGCTCGAGCGGACAGACGAACATGAGGGGCTCGGCGGGGGTATCGTGTACATTGTCGGGTCAATTGGCGTGAGAAGCCTAGAAGATCCCTCGAACATCTTGGTATAGACATCTTGGCCAAAGTGTGCGTTCTACTACATGCTGCTGCAAACAGGCGTTATGTAGAAAAGAAACTACATAGGGGAGCTAACGAGGAATGTTGAAAGACGGGGAAGCTGAGGGAAAGCTGAGGGAAAGCTGAGGGAGCTGACGTCGGGAAACGAGGGAAGCTTTGGGGCGGATACCGCTTATAGCCGCTATGCCGAGGTTTACCGTCACCAGTTTATGTATTGTACATGCATACCTACATGATGTCTCGGGGGAAGGAATAAGCCGAGGGTGATCAGCAATTCGTGGTACTTTCTTCCTTTCTATAACTTAAAAAATTACTTTCTACATATGTACCTAAACAATTATTTATTTATATAAAAGATGAAGGCATTCAGAACTCTACGTCGCCCGGCGCGGCACCCACTAACACTAACTACTACACCCCCCCACCCATTAACACTATCGCTATCACAACTCCGACGGTATGCATCCTCCAAGCACCCACAGGGTTTCACAGCACCCACTACCGCCGACCTAGCTGAGATCCGCGAGCGAGTGCAGGAGTTCACGCGGCGCGAGATCACAGAGGAGGTCGCCGCGCGCACGGATAAGAGCAATGCCTTTCCGGCGGATATGTGGCCGAAGCTAGGCGAGGCCGGGTTCCTAGGGATGACGGCAGACGAGGACGTCGGTGGTCTAGCCTTGGGGTACCAAGCCCATTGCATCGCCATGGAGGAGATCTCCCGCGGCAGCGGCAGCATCGGGCTCAGCTACGCCGCCCACTCCCAGCTCTGCGTCAACCAGCTGCAGCTCAACGGGTCTCCTGACCAGAAGTCCCGGTACCTGCCGGACCTGATCGCAGGGACGAAGGTCGGTGCTTTAGCCATGTCGGAGTCAGGTGCGGGCAGCGATGTCGTCAGCATGCGAACTTCGGCGAAGAAAGTTGACGGAGGATTCCTGCTCAACGGGACTAAGATGTGGATTACGAACGGGCCAGACGCCGATGTTGTGGTTGTGTATGCCAAGACTGAGCCCGACAAGGGATCCAAGGGGATCACAGCCTTCATCGTGGAAACTAGCTCCGACGGGTTTAGCTGTGCGCGGAAGCTTGACAAGATGGGCATGCGAGGGAGCAATACGGGAGAACTGGTCTTCGACAACGTGTTTGTGCCGGAGGAGAACGTACTGGGCCAAATCAACGGGGGGGTGCGTGTTCTGATGGAGGGGTTAGACCTCGAGCGTCTTGTGCTTAGCGCGGGACCTCTAGGCATCATGCAAGCAGCTCTTGACGTTGCGCTGCCATTCACACACCAGCGGAAGCAGTTCGGCATACCGATCGCGCACAATCAGTTTGTACAGGGAAAACTAGCCGACATGTACACGAAGCTACAGGCGTCAAGGGCATACACCTATGCTACCGCTAAGTCTGTCGACGAGGAGGGGGAGATCAGAACTCAGGACTGCGCGGGCGCCATCCTGTACGCAGCTGAGCGTGCCACCGAGTCTTCGCTGGATTGCATACAATTGCTCGGCGGTATGGGCTACGTGGAAGAGATGCCGGCATCAAGATTCTTAAGAGAGTAAGTTCATCACATATGTACGTCGTCATCGTTATACTGCTAATCACTCTACTAGTGCCAAGTTATACGAAATAGGGGCGGGAACATCAGAGATACGCCGCATGGTTATTGGTAGGGCATTCAATAAAGAATATGCTCGTCTTGGAGCATAGCATAGTTAATATGGGCGATGCAATTCAGACGCGTCCGGCATGCTTTAGACTCCTATTTTTCTTCTGTCCGGATTAGGAAGTGCAGACGGTTACCTGCCGCCTCCCCATCGTTGGTGTAAGGGTCTTCGCGTCCCAGAATGAACTCAATTACAGAGCGTGGTACCCTCCATACGCTTCCGTACACGGGTATGCTTGCCCTCGCTATGTCGCCATACATTTCCCAGCAATTTCCTCGATGCGTTGAAGGATTAGACGGATCTAACATACTTTGGAGTATTATACCGGCCTGTGAATTAGACGACTGACATAGGTCAAATAATGAAGACTCACTTGAGTCAACGCCGAAGTGTATGTATTCGTTATTCCAGATAAGGAAAAGATTGAATCGTTTGTATCCATATCCAGGGCCCACAGCAAAGTTTACAAAGTAAGGGTATTCTAGTGATTGTCGAGATCCAAATTCAAACTTGATATGGCCGTAAACTGGAGACCACGTTATCTCTCCTGTTGGAGATTTCGTAGCTTTCGTAGCATCATATAGCGGCTTCTGTAATCCAGAAAAGTATACCGTCTTAATTTGTAATCCAGTACAAAACTCGTCAACATCATATTGGGGTTTTGATGCTATGGATAATGGTGCGATCCTTTCCGCAAGAGAAATGTTTTGTAGATGAACACCCCCGGAACCGAACCGATTCTGTTCCCAGGGAAGAAGTGTTTTGTTGATATATATCTGAACTAGGTCGTCCAGTCTATAGGGTCCCTTCGAATCGCATCGTCCTAGCGTTGGTATTGCCAACCTGGCGTATCTATTGAACGGCAGTCGAAATGGATGATCACCTTTCCACGGGGTTCTGATTAGTATTATTGAAACCCAGTCTACACAAATACCGGACCAATAAGAAGCATTGATCATAGCATCGTAGACAGCAGTTGCAGCATCGCTAGAACATAAATGAGAATGCACACGGTAGTGTCGCTCTACGAGTTCAACGTGAATCTGGAGTCCTCTGTTGGTCATTGCAGATGGTGAACCTGTATCGTAAAGATTCCCAACGATATCTCCGGAATCTGCGAAATCGTTAGGGGATTTCGCGAACACGCTTTCTAGCGACCATGCTCTAGGGCTAGATCTTGGAACGGTCCAGCACAAGAGCGAGTGATCATCCGTCTCCTTAAGAATCTCTTCCTGTAGCCTGACGAAAGCCTTGGGGCCTTCGCCGTAGAGGAGCGGCATATTAATCTCGAAAATTCCTAGCAGAGAATACGCTATGTCTTCAATGCGCGTGCTCAATCTGTGAGCCGCCCAAGACATTTTTTGGGCGACACTATATTGCGATAAAGAGGACCTGGGTATGGATATAAGAGACTCCGGAATCCCCGTGACGTGAGTGAGGGCATCTTGAATCCGTTGTTCATATCGCCTGCCTATCTCCGCCCACCCACGACCATAGAAGATAACATCCGACGGCGCAATTAGCTCCTGCAAGGTCCAGGCTCTAGTAAACCATCTAGAGGCAGGCGGCTCATTACCATCTTCATTCGAAGTGAAGACATATGGAAACTAAAAGTCTAAGTATCAGCCGACTTATTAGACTTCGTCAGTTCATACATTATCGACCACATCTATAAGATAAGCGTAGCACACGGCCGACTCTTCGTACCACTGATACATTGAGTTGATAGCTTCGCTGAGTTCGGCGCTGCTTGTCTTATCGATGCAGCATGTGTCCACCCAAGCCCATTTACAACCGTGTTGCTTCGCCTGCTCGCAAGTGAGAACAATTTTCTCGTAGCCTTGTTTGGAGGGGCCGCTCCCTGCCTGCAAATCCTGCAAGCTCACCTCCTCTTCGGCCCAGGTGTGTGAAAGAATAGCATATTGGTACTTTGGGATATTGCTGCCCATGAACTCGTGCAGCTCGAGCGTATCAACGTCTAGCAAACGCATCGCGACGATGTAGCACAGTTGCAGAATACACGGATGTAAGCGAAATGACGAGAGCCTTACCAGCTGCCATGTTGTAGCCACCAAATCGAGGATTGTATGATTTGACCAATCGCTTGCATTGCATTGCATGATAGCGTCCCAGCCACTAATACATACCTATCACTAGAAGGCATCGTGTAAATCGGAATGCCGGTCATGCAGGCAGCTTGAAGCATCGCTCATAGGACTACCATAAATGTATATTGCGGGGGTTCCTAGTAAAAGAAGGAAAGAATTAGAAGCTCAACTGAGACGTTCATGCAGGTCTTGTTCCATTGAGCTGTCAGACGTATTGTTGCAGACGATGTCTCGCCTACCAAGACAAGGTCCAACGATCCCGAATAAGCTTGACGGCCAATAAATGGACAAACTATTGGCAAAAAGACTGAACGATGTCTCAATAACTGCCCACTCTAAAACAGCGGCTGAAAGTAGGACTTTGAAGATGGAGGATTAGAAACAGTGGCGCGCGCAACTTTGGATTGCGGCTTGTGCTAGAGTGGGAGAATCATCATGTGATTTCAAGGTACAAATGACACCATATATGCATAATATTTGGTTCAATATTCGATCTATCGAGGTATGCGTATAAAAATAGATTCCATCTTAAGAGGTAACCACATAATCCTAGAACCCAATGTAGGTTAGAATCCTAGAATCCTAGAAACTACTTGCCCAAGGTAAGAAAAAAAAAAAAAAAAAAAAAAAAAAAAAAAGGTAGAAACTATTGGGAATCATTTTGAGTTCGTTTTTTATTGCTCATCTCGTTTCTCTACGTAGATCATTACCATCTGCATAGGTATCACTCGCTGCCGTGCACTGATTCCTTTGGGCTCGGAGCGTCCCGCCGATTCATAGGATGACCGTGCTACCTTTGGTCATCTAGGCCCGACATATGCAAGTTGGACTTCGGTTTGCTCAGCGATCGGTAGATGTAAGGGATCCTAGATCATACGCTGGAAACGTGCCGGAGACGGATTGGCTATCTTCAGCCGTCCGACTTGAATGCGGTTCAGGTCCGTCTACATCAAAGCGCCAGTAGGACGCCAGTAGGAATCTTTCCTGCTTCAGCGTTACTTCGAGGATAAGACTCCATGACGACAGGAAGGTTGCTTGACCGTTATAAGCTTATGTGCACCTCCTCTACCTGGCTACCAGCGACTAGGAATGCACTCCGTTCGCGACACGGCCTTCTCATTACCGTGCGCCGTACCCATGACCGAAATAATCGGTCGGGGATTGTAAATTTGCTAGGGCAGCCAAGGCAACTAGGCAAACGGATGGGATCGTCAGTTTGCCTAGCTAGTGTATTGTTTGCATTAGCAGACCATTGAAAAAAATATTCAATAAAAAAGTTGGGACGATCCAAATCCAGGATCCCGTTCACCGGCTCTCGCGATGCAGTGGCACGTCAGATGGAACCGCATTCTAGCCGCTTACTGACCGGTGTGGATATTCCCGGTGATGATCCATCCTCGACCTGAACAACCACGGCTCCACCATTGCGATGCATCACAAGTCATCGCGAACAGGACAGCTGAAAAGCTCAAGCCATATGCTCTGTTAAGTTTTGTATTTTGCTTTTTTTCCTGTCAAGTACCCCAGATTCGGGTCGGACTAAACCCCGGTATACAAGCGATTGGATACCTTGTATGCACATATCCTTAGTCTGGACTATCAGAATGTTATTTGAACTTCCCAATAACTTATAGTCAACAAGATTACATGTCCAGAAGCGTCCGAACTTCCTGTAGCTTCTGATAGATGGCCGAAGCTAAAGGCTTCTCATTTCTGGCTGACAGGTGCGAATCCCGGCTCGGGTTAGGCATCAAACCCTGGCCTATATGTGGTGAAGTAGAGCCTAAGAGGTGTGTGCCAACCACTAGGGTGCATTTTGGGGTGCCCTGTCAATACAACGAGACACGGCTCGTCGTTTTCGCAGCAGTCCCAACGTTGCGGTTCTGTCAGAGGTGTGGAATAAGAGAGATTGACATAGCAGAGGGCCATAATTGTGTTTCTTCTGGTAGCATATGCAGGGAAGTATAACATCATAGAGGATGGCCAACATGACGGGATCCTGACGATGCGATAAAGTGGATACTGGTGAAGGGACTGGCTAATATAAACGGGCGTTGAACCGCCATTGATTTGAATCACCCCTGCTAAATGGAGTTGTCTACCTCGCACAGCAGTGAACTAGAATTATGGGAATTCTTACATCTCCATGATACCGTTGATCTCGTCTTGGTAGCCGTGCAGTAGCAGCCCAATAGCCGACGTTTCGGCGACACTGTCATCCTCACCTTCGTACGACTCGGCCTGTCCAAGGGGGACGACTGATCAACTTGCGGGTCGTGCGGCGTCGAATGGGGGTCTGTGGTTTCTTATCTTCTGAGTCGGTCAAGGAGTCGATGCGGGCACATCCCAGGAGCTACGGCGGTCACGCGTTGCCTTCTTACTTCTGTACATCCGAGTTCCAGGGGTGAGGGAACGCCAGTCTAAAGATACACACATGCTCGGGATTCTGCCACTTGAGCTACTCTCTCTCCCTTACGTGAGGGTGGGTAATCGCAGCGGGCTCCCGTGAAGTGCGTCAAGCCTGACCGGTGATCGCAGATTCGACTCACCTGAAAGTCTTCCACGCGTTATGCAGGGAACTCATGCATGACGTTGATGATATGAAGGATTCCACTCGGGAAAGATGGCCATTAAGGCTAGGCTGATCGGGAATCCAGTTGGAGGCTTCAGTTTCCACGAATAGGCTCCCGGGTTTATCCCAACTCCTTGGTTATTTGACGCCTCGGGCACTCTCGATTGAACCGGAAGATTCCAGCTTTCAGATCGAAATGCCCGCTGTGGTTGGTCCCACGGAGGGCCAGAGATGACTTATCTGTTTTCTTTGACCGATTTTGCAGATCAATATGATAGGAGGTATAGGGGATACAACATCTAGTCTCCGAATGGAGCAAAACGTGCGAATTCAAAGGCTCCGGCGGCAATGGCCAATCTTGATCGTGGGTACGGTGCGCGAGCCGCATCGGACACGACCAATTGCCTTGAATTGGGTGGGATATGGCTAGTAGGATAAGACTTCTTCTCCGTGGTGCATTAAATATCAGAACGTCCCTACCCAACTGCTATAGTCAGGTTCTTCAGTAAAATCCAGTAACTGTTTCTGATGACTCTACATCATATCACTTCCGCCAAAAATTATTTTTCCAAAAGATAGTGTCCTATATCTTTCCGCGGTTACCAATATGGCACACGGATCCCACGAGAAACTAAACCGGCCAGTAGCCGTAAAGAATGTTGCTACACGGCTCGTGAAAACTGAACCTTCAAAGACTTGCAACTTAGTCCGAAAGTTCAAGGAACTAGCGAGGCGAGAACTCTGGACGAAGGAAGATCCGGGTCGTAAAGTCGACTGGGCCGACGACCGGGTGTGGGAGAAGATCAAAAAGGAGGGCTGTTACCATCAGGCAGACGAGATGCTTGTCAGTTGTGGAACAGTCACAGTCGACCAGGCGGATTCGACACGGCCCATGGTATTGGTGGTCTATAACAAAAACATCGGTATATATCAATTACCTAAGGGGCGCAAGAATTTCGACGAGGGATACCCCGAAGCAGCCCTGCGCGAGACCTCTGAAGAGACCGGAGTGGCCGTTCAACCATTGCGGCTTAGATTTGGGTCCAGATCGACACCACCGAGGCTGGTCCCAGTGCAGACCACTGCTCGAGTAAAGTATGGCCTCGAGGACAAGCTTACGGGTATTACAGAGGCCCTCAATAAGGAGAGCATTGGTTCTAGTGAATGGTGCGCTATATAAAGTCTCCGCAATTTCCTGATTTTTATATCTGTTGTGCCGTGTTAGTCTCGACTTTGCTAACCTACCATTGGCAGTACGTTGTCAGACAGCTCATAAAATTCCTTGTATTTCCTAACCCCTCTCTTCCCTACTTACCTCCCACCACGCGAACTTTTGTATTCTCGTGTCCTGAAGCAAAGTATCAATATGTACTAGACCCCGACCCTGCTACCGGCGCCTGGAGACACATCTACTGGTTTGCGGCGAAGCCCCTAGGGGATACTAGACGCGACGAGAGTCGTATGACGGAAGAAGAGGATCGCAACAAGTTCTCAACTTTCTGGTTCTCCGAAGCAGAGGCAGTGTCTCGACTCAAGCTAGATGATGAAAAGTTCAGTAAGTAAACTTTGGAACAATTATTCTATCCGATGTCCCATCTCGGCAGCGACTACGGCTACCCCTTGTCCGACACCTATTTGTTGGTCCTGTGTTTTACACCCCCTTTAACATTGAGCAAGTGGCTGATATTTCCTATGATGTAGTGGTCCGAATTACATTCGCGTACATCCGTAACATGACCGCAAGCGACTGGGCGAGCAATTACGAACAAGAGGAATAGGAAAGGAAAAGAGGCAAAAGAAGGGTAACTAGGAACGAAAACAAAAGGATAAGGCTGATCTCAAAATGGATAGAAGGAAAATTGATGGGAGCAATAGGAAGGATATTGTTTGCAGCTAAACCACTAACGACTTTTCTATTGAAAACTAAAATTCAAAAAATAGGGGTATAGACCCCTTACTGACTTTGTAATTCGTGACATTAGATGTAGTTACTAGATAGTCTAGTATACTACAGATGTATAATTCTGCATGCTAAAGATATCATATGTATAGACGACATATGAAGAGAGACGATCGCGAAATTCTGACTAAAGACGAGAAGGAGAGGCTTTATTGAATGGATCAAAAAAGGGGCATTCAGCCCTATGGCGTGCTATTCCCGCACCTAAGATGATGAGATTCTAAATTAAACGCTAGAACGTTCTAGGATCTACCGCTCTCAAAATGGAAAGCCGCTAACCCATATTTGGCATAGAAATGCTGTTCGCAGTCGGCGGGTTCCGATGAGTTTATGATATATGACATCACGGTTGGTATTTCTGTACAACAGTAATCCGTACTAAGAATTTACCCCACGTCTTTTAGCATCATCGTTGAAAAGCTACCCCTCATCCATACATAAGTAAGTATATGTATATAATAATAACCGATCCATTGAGATCATTGATAGCTAAAGCTAAGAATATCTAGTTTCTAGATTAGGTATACGGTGTACTTTCTCAAAGGGCAACTTGTTAATATTTAGAGTAGTTAAACTGTAAATTACCTAACCTACCTAGGTAGTTATATAGTTAACTACCTGTTCGTTCCGTATAACTAACTACATACGTATAATTCAAACTGTACAAGTTCCTACGTAACTAGTAACCCCTCACATGTCACTATCAAGGCATCTTCCCGGATCCCGAAGAGCTGTTGCCGTCGCATCAGGCTTTATATCTCCGCAATCACTTACTACACATAGTCCTCAAACTCCTCTGCTATCCTCCCTTCCCAATTCCAACCCCAACTCCTCAACACCGCCAACCTCGCATCCCCTTCTTCAGTCTAGAAGCTTCGCTGCACAATCGACCCAAAACCAAGACGTTCTCAAGCAATTGTCTCCTAGACACGCCTGCACGATGTCCACCATGCCAGCTCAACACGGCCACTCCGAGGCCTGCTGCAACATCCCCCCCGTGGTGTCCAAGGGCTACACCGCGAAGGGCGCATACGAGGAGCTCGGAGGTTTCAAATCATGTAAGTCAGTTAGCTATATACATACATACATACCTACCTTACCTGCCCAACTTACTCCCTTCCCACCTCCACCTCGAACCTACCTACATACTAAACGCATCTCAGACGTCACCGGCCCCAAGGTAGCCACCAAAGGCATAATCACCATCTTCGACATCTTCGGCTTCTACCCGCAGACCCTACAAGGCGCCGACATCCTCGCCACCTCGGACCACTCGCAGCAGTACAAGGTCTTCATCCCGGACTGGTTCAACGGTGATCCCGCGCCCCTCTCGTGGTTCCCCCCCGACACCGAGGACAAGCAGAAGAACCTCGCCGCCTTCTTCCAGAAGAACTCGCCGCCGAGCGTCGCCGCCAAGGTCCCGGACTACGCCAGTGCCGTCTCGGCCAAGTACCCGGAGATCAAGAGCTGGGCCATTCTTGGGGTAAGTGCCATCCCTTCCCTCGTTATTTGTTTTTTCCCCCCTGCAAGTTTCTCAGATCGTGGTTAACGTCAACTTCCGCGGACAGTTCTGCTGGGGAGGCAAAGTCGTATCTCTCGTGACCTCGAAGCCCGACACCGTCTTCAAGGCCGGCGTGGAGGCACACCCGGCGATGGTCGACCCGGCCGACGCCGAGAACATCAAGGTCCCGCTAGCGCTGCTCGCGTCCAAGGACGAGCCTCCGGAGGACGTCGAGAAGTTTGAGCAGAACCTCAAGGGCCCCAAGCACGTCGAGACCTTCGGTGATCAGATCCACGGATGGATGGCGGCCCGTTCCGATCTTGAGGATGAGCGTGTCAAGGCCGAGTACATACGAGGCTACGAGACTGTACTAAAATTCTTGTCTAAGCACGTGTAAAGCATTGATTAGTCTCTCAATAAGCCTCAAGGGCAAGAGGCCAAATGTCGCTGGTCTTATCTGACGAGGAAATCTCTAATGAAAGTAAAGATGAATGAAATAATTGTCCTTTAATTGATGATTATGACAATACCACCCCCTACCACCCCCTTTTTATCACATGCGCAAGTTTAATCTCGGTCACTTAATAGGTATGATATGTCAATTAGTGTTGTGTCAACAGACCTTCTAGCCATTTTGAATCGTAATCAAGTCATAACGCCATCATGCATCATTTTGAAGTGCCAGTGCCTAAGCAAATACCAGAAAATGCGACAAGCGTAAAAATGCTAAACCTCGCAACACCCGAGAGAACAGGGAAGATGTTCTCTAGCCCTCTATGTGTCACCTGGCTTTGTCAAAATAGATGCCTTTTCCTGACCCTGAATCCCATCTTGTATTCCTTCACCGGCCTCTGCCTTGGCAGCTTCCGGTTGCTTGCCTGATTCTCTTGCGTAGATATTCTCCGTGGGAAGTTCCTCTTCGCTCCCGCCCGCAACGACAGATGCCACACCCATCTTTCCGCCTATGTCTTCCTTTGTTCCCACATCCTCCTTTGAGTCTTTTTCTACCTCGCCCTCGCCATCGCCTTTACGTCTGCCAGCTGCCTCGGCAGTGTTTTCAGGTTTGGGTAACTTTTCGATAGCAGGAGTAGCGGGCGCCTCCTCGTCGCCAATCTTCTCAAACTTAACGACTGCCCATTCTATACCAAGTGCTGCATTCCATGCCGAGACATCACGAGACTTGCTGGGGATAACATTGCCATAGCGGTCGCGACGCTCCCACTTTTGCTGCTGCATGCGCACGAGCTCTGCTGAGTGCGGCGCTAGTACATTGATGCGCGCAATACGGTACCAACCTGCGAAAATAAATCGCGGACTGCTGCGTCCTTGGTCGTAGGAGCGACGCTCTTCAAATACCGCAACAGGCGCGTGCGCAGATGGGGCGTAGTCGATGGGTGGAATAGTGGGAAAGCTAGGTGCCTGTATCTGTTGAAGCTTTAGACGCTGTTGCTTCCGCTCCTCCACTATACGATCCTGTTCCTCGGGCGGTAGGTTACGGACGTCGCTGAACTTCATGCGGCTGCTTGAACTAGACGACGTTTCCGCAACGGGTGCCTCATCTGTCTGGCTCGCATCAGGGGATGTAGTAGCCCTTGCCGTCTCTTCGTCGGTGACGGACAGTGATTCAATAGCAGTCGTAACTTGGCCAACTTCGTTGTCCTGAGTAGTAGATTGAGATGCCTCTTCCGTAGGAATCCTATTCGTAGTTGCGTGGAAATCTTGGGACTCCTCAGGTTGTTTAGGGAGTGGCCAATCCCCGTATTCCGCCTTCTTTGAGCTGTACTCCGGTAACAAAGTAAGCTTGGATTTGGCAAACACGATACGGTCGCCAGGCCAGCGGGGGTTGGCATTGGTAAAGAGCAGCATGTAAGACAACTGGTCTGGATGCTCCCCAGAGCCGTGGAAGGTGCTCGAGTTTTGGTGTGAAACGGCTTCAACTCCCTCTTCATCGCAGAAATGCTTCACAATTGCGCGTTGATCGTAGAAGTCAACATCATCGAACTGGCCTTGATGCTGTTGGTTACGACCTTGGGAGAACGAGTTGCCATAGGTACCTCTTCCGCGACCACGGCCACGGCCGTGTCCTCCACGATCTCGTCCTCCACGGAATCCTCGACTATTCATGTCGCCTCTACTGCCTCCGTTGTTGAAAGGTTGATATGATGATGAGTGGTTAGGAGGAGTAGATGACTCTGATGTATCAGGCGCAGCACCAGTTGCCTGTGAATCTCCACGGCGAAAGGGAGGAATATAGCTTCCGTACGTAGACATGACTTATGACGTACGCGAAGGTTAAAAAGGGTAGAAAGGTAGAAAGGTGGAAAGGTGGAAAGGTGGAAAATATGGGTGAAAAATGGGAACTACGGGGCCAGCTTGTGGGGAATGAGGTAGGTAGAGAATATAGGTAGGTACCTAGAGGTAGGTATGTATTATGTGTATTAAGTGTAATTGTTTTTTCTTTTTGCAGTTGCGATATGGCGGGGTTGATTGTTGTTCGTCGTGGAAGCTGCAAACGTCGTTGTCGCACAGCTATTAATTTAAAGATATCGGAATAGGTACAGGTACCTAGGTAGGTAGCTTACATGTAAGAGGTATCTTAGGTAACTGTAAGTACCTAGGTTACATGTATTAATTTGTCTTTAATGCATGTATGCTTAATAGGTACCTATATCGCCGTCTTAATCAACTGCGCGCACTAACTTGAGCACGGCTTGGTACATGCACGTATTTATTAACTACTCCTTATCGCGACTACGCGTTTGCTTATCCAACTTACATGTGCAGATGATGCAAACGCCGTGTTGTTTACAATCCTCGTTATAATAGGAAAGACTTTGTGATAGTATCACAAGGCAGACCCAAAATGCGAAATTGGTTCGTAGGGAGCTCTAACCTAAGCTGTAGTTATGAATCGAGTTCCAAGATCGGCTTCACACTTCCAAGATTTGCTTTCAGCCTTGGGTCTGGCGCCACTTGACAGCTGGTTATCCACGGCCCACGAGTATAGTGAAGCTTCACATGATAGAGCAGGCTCAAGTAAGAATTTAGAACCACACCACATTCTACAGCCACTTAAAGATATGCCAGAATCGGGAAGCCTTGGTTGTAGGTATCTAGACTTGTCGGATGCGAACGTTCCAATGAGCATGGAGATACTCTCAAATATTTGGATTACTGGGAAAAGGCCTCATATAAGACAATCTATGTGAATATTGTGGTTTTTATGCCGACCTGGGCGGCCTTCAATACTACCAAAGTCACCGATAAGTCCACGACAGTTCTGATAATACAGCACTCCGGAACTGTTTTAATTAAAAGTTGTGCTCTACTATTAAAAGTCTTCAGAGCCAATTCGCTAACATGATAGGAAGCCTCCAAAGAATCCAGTGTCGGATACCTATGCTGCTCGATTACATAGCAACCTCTGTGGGTTCAAATTCTCCGCGGAGTTCTAACCCCTGAAAAGTCGAGTCGCCTATATCAATGATAATACGTAAATCATAGGCAGGCAACGAAAGTAAAGAATTCAGTCATTTGTGATAAGTATGCTATGCATACAACAGCTCGTTCCTTATAACGTGAAAATGCGCACTAAGTACTCTCTTCTGGTTATATTGCAACCCACTGTCCCTAGAAATGCATGGCTATGGTTCGTTGGAGTAAAGATTGTGACATGCCATCAGATTGGCTTGTAGCTGAGTGGCGTTTTTCTCCATGAATAAGATGAGATGCTGGTTCGAATAGGTGTTGCAATCTCTAGAATTTGCTTTTTCTTTCGGCGTGGATGGTAAGCCCTAAGAGAGGTTAACATATGACGACTCATTTTGCCATACATACGAGAAGAAGACGATAGATAGGAGCAGTCTATGTAATCCGTTATATTGTTCTATTAGGTAACAAGTATGAATATATATATATATATATATATATATATATCTGTTTCCTATATTACTGCAGTGATCAGTGTTTCGTGTTTACTCTTTTTACTACAAGTGAATCTTCAAATACTACTTTAGCTATTTGCAAGGCTAAACAGCTATTGCTTTCATTTCGCCTGTCATGTTTGACTTCTATCTAAATATCACGAGCTTGGGGGAGTGGTTGCTGGTATTCTTTTCGTTGGGGTCCCTCTTGGTTCGTTTTATTGGTTTCGTTATGAAATCCATCAACCATGGCAATATTACAGTACTAATGGGAATTCTGGGCTCTAGTTCCTCATAAAAGCCTTCTACAACCTGTTCTTCCACCCTCTAGCTCACATCCCCGGTCCATTCTGGAGTCGAATAAGCAGCTTTCCCTCGTGGTACCATGCCTGCCGCGGCGACCGCCATGTTTGGCTGTGGCAGTTGTTCCAAATATACGGCGATAGGGTTCGCTCCGGGCCTGATGTCGTATTGTTTTGCGATCCTCAGTCATACGTCGACATCTATAGTATGAAGTCAAATGTGCGACGAGCCCCTTTCTATGGGGCGCTCCAAAAGAGTAGGCACGAGACCATGACTGTGGCTACATTTGACATCGCTGAGCATGCGCGGAGGCGCAAAAGCCTTAACCCCGTTCTTCTTAATGAGAAGTCCATACGCGCGGCTTCGAAGTTCATCATTAAGCATGTTGAACGCTGGGTCCAACTCATGATAGAAGACGATGAGATAGCTACCGAGTGGTCTTCTCCCGTGAACTTTTCGAAGAGAATTGAATCCCTTACTTTCGACATCATAGGTGATCTTAATTTCGGGGTGTCTTTTGACATTAAAGAGAAGGAGGAAAATCCTCTAAAACTGGCACCATTTTATATGACTCAATCTTTACGGTTTAATTATATGGTAATCATTTCTAACCCGCACCTTGCTCTCTATCGTTTCGATGAAGGGTAACGCTAACAATGTGAAAAGATGGGCCGCGCCCCCTTTTTTAGATTCCTCCATTGGATGAGGCCTTACGGATTTGATTATCTCCTCGAATTAATTACCCCGTCAGCTGTTCAGAAGCTTAACCAGTTCGTCTACAATAGCGTCTCCGATCGTATTGCTCTACAAAAGGAGCAAGCGGAAAAGCCTGAAACTCAGCGGCGTCAAGATATCTTCTACTTCTTATATGAAGCGCAAAATCCCGATACGGGCCGTCCCACTTACGACGAGGCCGCTCTCCGGGGAGAATCTACCCAGCTTTTGGTCGCGGGATATGATACGACCGCTACTGCTATTTGTAGCATAATTTTCTACCTCACCGGCGATCCCAGACGACACCAGAAACTCGTGGACGAGATTCTATCAACATTTGAATCAGCAGAAGATATCGTCTACGGACCGAAGCTTCTAGAATGCACTTACCTAAGAGCGTGTATCGACGAGGGAATGCGCCTTAGCCCCTCACTACCAAGTGATCTTCCCCGGGAGGTACTGCCTGGTGGCCTAACGATTAAAGGAGAGTACTATCCCGAAGGCACTATCGTAGGAAATGTTCCTTGGGCCCTCACGCGCAACCAGGAAGTTTATGGAGATCCTGAGGTATTCCGACCCGAGCGTTGGATCTTAGACGAATCGACCGGTGTGACTCAAGAGGCCATCGCTCAGGCAAAATCCTGTTTCCACCCCTTCCTCTCCGGTCCGGGCAATTGTGTCGGGAAGAATCTTGCCATGGCGAGTATCTTAATTACGGTGGCTCGACTTCTATACCATCTAGATGTAAGAAGAGTTCCCGGATCTACCTTTGGAGGTGGTAGTCCTACTATGGGGTGGGGAGCAAGGAACGAAAACCAGCTACAGCTAAACGATATGTTTGGTTCGGGCAGGGAAGGCCCAGAGGTACAGGTCAGGAAGAGGGCATTTATTTCCTAGAAGGTCGTCACCTGAAGTAAAGGTAGAAATACGATATCAGGTAGAATAGAAGGAAAAGAAGATGGGAATCAAAGTGGCTGACGCCAAGTCATTCCTTTCATGAGTACAAAAGCCGGCACACCTTGTCACAGTTTACCTTCTGGCGGTTTCAAGTGTAGGGGATATCGAAGAATGAATCGGGTTCGCTCTTTTACCTATGGGTCGGCAATTAGATGCGGTAAATGTACATGCTCAACAAGACTTTCAACGTGATATATTGGTTAGCTTTCACAGAGTATTAAATTAACGACGCTCTCTATTACTCCCTCAACCCCCTCACTTATCCCTGACCTTTAAAATGCAGCCACCATGCCTACTTGCAGTGATCTATAATTAGATCCCGCTTTAGATTAATAAACACGGCTCACTCCTTCAGCCCCATAAGAACGCCCCATGAATTATATACCTCTTATATAGATCGTGGCGGATACTGTTGTTAAGCGAGCTTTGAGTAGTGTCTCATGGGATAGGAGGCCAGTAAAACGGCGGCCAATTTGACATCCCGAGTGGGCTGCGGCGTTTTAAACGGCGCCCCTGCTCCAGTGACAGCTCTCTAGCTTGTTTAAAGGAAAGTCTCTTTAAATTCATACGTATACATGCCAGTGAGCTCATGCGATAGACGTAATACCATTCCTCATTAAAAATAGATCTTAAGCAAAGAAGCATTTAAAGATCCAGGTTCGAAATACATAGTTTGTGTTTAAATAAAGGGGATGGTATGATTTTCCCGACACGCAATCCGATAGAAATAAAGAGCTTAACCTAGTGGTTTCTATGTCATAGATGCCTAGGAGGTAGGTACCTAGTAGACAAAAGAAAAACATCACGATTGGGGCTTTCTAATGCATTAGAAGAGAAATTTAACGAATTTTCTTGCCACCATTAGCCCATCAAGAAGAATAAAGTGTTAGATATGAAACGGCGAGACTGATAAATAGATATAGGAGGTATGTACTTCCACCTACGGACTTACGATTAATAGTTATTACCGACAACGAAATGGAACTCATCTTTATCCACTCGCCACATGAACGGGCACGTGGAAAGAATCCCTTATGTTATTCTTCTTTATCCCTTAGAGGCCTAAACTGGGACCAAGGAACAGATCCATAAAACTGAACCTCGCTACCAGCCGTGATGATTCGAATCTGATTCAGAAGGCGGCTTGGGTAACTCGTTTCTAGGGCTGGTCGTAAATGTAGAATACCCCTCAAGTCTTTGAAACACGGGCAAATTAGATGGAGAAGCTATTAAAAGTTGCCTTTGATACGCGAATACTATGGAGCTCTACAACACGGGAGCTCGGAGGTACTTGGTGAAGTAATACGAGGCACCTTTCATTATTGAGGCTCTATGTCTTGTCCCCGATGGCCGAGGTGACCACAGTAGCAATCTCCCTACGGCGTTTGATATAAAGGAACTATGCCGCCTTCGTATTTATATATCTGCCTCTACGATTTTGGCTAGGAATCTTCATTCGTTTCCCCCTTTACACTTACTCGGGGACGAGGTCGTAGGTAGCAGCATGGCTGAGACTCTCAACCCGGAAGCACTCTCAAGTTTGTCACCAGAGTATCTGGCCGAGGATTACCACGAGATCTGGTGGCGTTGGAACGTTGCACTGACAGTCATTGTAACCGTTATATATATTCTATTCGTTATATCCCGACTGTTCTTCGCAAGATACAATGGCTGGGAAGTCTGGACGTTATATCCGCTCTCATATGTCTCTTGTATAGGACTTTGCATCCTATATTTTTGTGAGTATCTCTCTATTCCTCCATTAGCTGTTACGTCGCGTATCTGCTTCAGCTACTAACTGTGTTGCCGGAATTAGTGGCCGTCGCTAGAGGGGGTGCAGGGAAACACTTGGTGTACTGGGAAATCCACAATCCGAAAATTATCCCTATATACCTTAAGCTTCAGACTGCGTCAGAGTTTCTCTATATGCTCGACGTATCGCTCCCCAAAGTCTGTATTATCATCCTGTATCTCCGTATCTTTACCGAGCGCTGGATCAGGCTCATAACTAAGATCGTCCTTGGAATTGTAATCAGCAATTATGTTGCGATCGGTATTATCGCCGTCCTTGTAGTTTGCAGGCCATTTGCCTACAAGTGGGACAAGACGATAGACGGCCACTGCAGCGATCTCATGAATTCTTACCGGTACACCAGCTTACCGAACATCATCACGGATGTAGCTATTCTTATCTTGCCTTTTCCCATGCTTTACAAATTGCAAGTAAGCCCGGCGCGCAAATTTGGGATATTCCTTACTCTTCTAACAGGAAGCCTGTAAGTATATTTAACATTATATCGTATAGTCATATTTGTTTACCTAGGAGGATATATATACCTACTTACCATATATGCAACATATTCTGATTTAAACGTGCCTTCTTCGTTTTGCTTACAAGACGTCGTCTAGGGGCCTTATAACCGCTATTGCTCGCTTCGTCGAGTACTTGAAGCCCGATTGGATGACAGACCCGATGTACGCAGGCAACAAACCTATAATTCTCGGCATTATCGAAGCACATACATATTTCATCTGCTCTTGCTTACCTGAAATGCGACCTCTAGCGCGCGGGATCTATAGGAAGTTCAAGCCCCATAAAGTCAAGGAGTTTCCCTACAACTCGGGTCCGTCCTTTCGGCCTGTGGGATCCAATAGTTATGGTTCTTCTGTCGGTAACATCCATGGCAATCACAAAACATCAATTTCAGCTCTCAGGGGACAGCACGATGATTATAGCAAAGGGTTTGAAATCCCTGCTGTAATTCAACTTGATAAGACGGTTCATGTGAATTATTCTCAAAAGCGCGCTCTCCCAAGAGATATGGTCTAGACTTGGGGGGTTGCAGCGACTATTGTCTGTATAGGGACATCCATGGCAGCTCATATAATTTTCTTTATCGTCATATTACAGTAACAAGGTGCAAAAGAAGAGTTCTGATATATCTAGAAGTTTACAGTGCGATACTGGTTGGTTATTTCAAACCCCTTAAAGCTAAAAACCGACATAAACTATTTACTTGGGTACCCTTATATTTAAAGTATGATCTTAATTTTCATAGGCACTTAAATGGCTGTATGCCACCTGCTTTTATAAGTAACGGTTAATAGTTTCACCTCCGAATCTTTGGTGAAATACCCTCAGCTCTTTTGAATCTAGGAGGTAGCCTATGAGATAGACTGATGTCAAGGTAAACCCTTTCTAGTTAGCCGCAACCGTTGAATAAAGAAGGCCAAACGTGGTTAATGAAGATGGGACCATGTGGGATCAATACCCAGCCCTACCTTTGTTAGCAAAATACAATACCGCAGTCCATAATCTTTTTCTGGGGAGTTAGCCACAAGTAGAATTCCGTATGAGTGCTGTATGGCATCTTCTATGCTGTCTATGAAGCTCCTGATCATTCTAGTTGTTATGGTTTTGCCCGTAGAGATGTAGCTAGTCATTACATCGGCAAATAAATAGATTAGCATTTCGCCAACAGGGTCTTAGTTGAGGGAACAGTCAAGGAACTCGATACTAAAGTAGTTGAGTCCTTTTCGAATACTTCTGGCAGTGGGTCGAGTTTTTCTGATGTGTGTATATCTACAATAAGAAACCTATGTTAGTAAACGTAATATATATTAAGTGTACTTGGCTGAGCGTGATAGAGGTTATAATACATGAACTTATTAATATTACCTGAGACTATCGAGTGTATATAATTGCCCGTATTTAAATTAAAAACTGCAGTTCTTCGCCCTCTGTATATTTACATTGTGGAAGCACGTACCGACTTTTACTCTATTATACTTTAGGTAAGTCAAACCACCCTTACTGGGGCCACCCTAGTGGGGGCCACCCATTTCCCATACAAAATCAACAACTTCGCATGTCTATAATTAATTCAAAATAATAGATAAAAATATACAATCTCTTATGTTTTACTTTGCGATCATTATAATAGCTTATGTATATTTTATCATATTTAAAATCTAATGCTTTAATAGTAAAATAATAAAGTGTATTTTTAATGTTATTTTAAAAAAATTTTTAATTTTAATTGTTGGGATAACGGTCACGTGACCTCGTCACATGACCAGGGTTATGCCCACACACACCGCCCACGCACAGCCCACGCATCTGTACAATAGATATCTTTCCCCACTCGGGGGAACCCCTCCTCTCTTACCTTAGTACAACAAATCAGAACACGATCGTTATTTGCATTCCCTTTCATATTATTACGTAATACATAGTCAATCCAACATTAATTTTATATGGGAATTTTATCAAATTACCATAAAACTTTATAAACGCTTATAACTTCTCAGATAAATAAGTTATATAATTGGCCCTAGATTTAAAAGTTGTATTAAAACATCCCTTATTTAACGATATAGATTCTACATTTATACCATATTAATTGGTAAAGTTATAAGCAATAATATCCCTTAACAGCTTTACATATAAATTTGTATGTGTAATTGTTAGTGTATATTCTTGTATTCATTTTACCACAGATATTAGCCCTGAAATTTTTTTCAATTTTTATATATAATAAAAATATAATATGCTATTCAAAATCAAAGACCGTATATTTTTATCTATTTTCTTTAATTAAATACAAATATGCGAAATCGTTGATTTTGTATGGGAAATGGGTGGCCCCCACTAGGGTGGCCCCAGTAAGGGTGGTTTGACTTACACTTAAGCCAAGTTCAAGGTTACACTTTAACCACAATAATCAAATCAACCAATCAATCGTGTAAGCAACCAAGTTTATATATGGATGTACATAAATGCCAAGAATATAAGTCATTGGCTTTTCTAACCAGTGAACGAATGCTTCAGTTCACTATGCTTAATGCCAGATTATCCCAAGATCGTGTTGCCAAGGCACTGCTCTCCTTCATTAGACACGTTAATCCTTCAGCCTTCATTCACGGAACAAATATCCTCCAGATCGCTCTCTAGCCTTTATAACGACGAACGGAACTAGACATCAGAGCAGATAATCTTCCACGATGCCCAGTTGGCGTTGGGCGGGGGCACGTTGCTGCAAGCGCTAGTCTCGAGACGTGTGGTGCCAGAGGTGCAGATGTTGTTAGTAAAGACGTAGACTGTTATCCCAGTTAGTTAACATTAGGTACCTCATTTTCTCATCGCCGATATTCATTAATACGGAACAGCGAGGGACTTACAGCTGCAGCTGTCGGCGGCGGGGCTGTTCATAGCCTCCAAGACGACGGACTTAACAACGGGGGAAGTGGGCCCGCCATCGAAGGTCTTGCAAGCGTTGGCGTCGGACGCGTCGACGGTGTAGAAACCCTGGTTCAGCTCGCTGCAACCCTCAGCACTGAAGATACGGAACTGGGCGAGACGGGCACCGTCACGGGGGACGGCGTTGGCGTTAGCGCCGAAAGCGAGGGCGGCAGCAGCGGCGAGGAAGGTGGTGAACTGCATTTTTGCTGTAATGGTTTAGGAGGGGTTGGAATTGAGTAGATGGTGTTGGTGATGTCAAGAACGTGTGTGTATGAGTTGTCGAATGCTTTGTTGTCTGAGACTGGTCGATTGGAGTCTAAAGATTGCAGTCTCTCGCCTCCCTTTTATAATAACATGAGGTCTTCCCATATCGTATTGTCGGTGCCTAAAGTCCATGGTCTGGACGTTCTGTATGTACAACACAGGAGGCTTTGTGCTTCGCGATTCCCGCCTGTTGATCTTTCCAACACGATGTTTCCGCGCATCTGATCATGCAAAGCGACGACGCAAGGAGTGCTCTATGGACACCCCGGTCAAGTTGGTCAACTAGCTGAGGGCAAAGCGGCCAATCAGAAATAACGGGGTAGTTGAAGATCTACCCGAAATGGGAATTACCGTCTTATGCATCATCTGTAAGAACTAAGAAGGACCACCGCCTCTAACGTGTAACTTGACATGTTTACGACAGAGATCGGCAGTCGGTGGAGATCTTCACTTATTGGATTGGACTAAAAATGGCAATGCTCGTATGCCTCACCTCAGCTCCGAGAAGCTTGTATGTATGAGGTCAAAGCTTCAACATCGTTGACAAGACCAACATTCTGTAACTAATGTGTAAGTCTTCTGGAAGGCAGAAAGATAAAAAATCCCCCGATTGGATCGTACTTCATGAACTCCATAGAGACCCATGGCCTGTGTAGGTATGTACATATGTAGTCTTACAAGGTGTTTACCCCATGAAATCCGGCATTGCGGCTAGACTGGATCGAATGAATCTACGCCACGGTACCACTGTCTGGAGCATCTTGTGGTACAGGATAACGCTATTTGATGTTAAAGAAATAGCCAGATAAGTGTCAGCCTATAACTGACGTATATGTGCTCATACAAGTCTTCTGTAAGGGGTATTGAGCAGCGAAGGATTCCGTTAGAGAGGCTGTCTTTACCTATGTCTTAGATGATACTCGTGTTTACTTTACCCAAACGTCAACATAATATTAAACTGGAGTTGAATCGTGATTACAGCCGAGTTCAATTGTTGCCTTCTCGTATTTGTGTCGACTAGGAGCGATGACCGCGTGTCTATCGCGGTGTGCTTTATTTTAATGACCAGTCACATCCAGTCTTGCCACAGCACAGCACCCGATCGTCAAACGAAAGGAATCCCCAAATGAAATTTACGAGGGGACCCGATAACCGACGTGGTACAATCATGTAGCAGCTGGTTGTTTGCTGTGAAGGTGTTCCAAATACTTTCATTTATTGTCTACCTACCTAATAATAGCACACGTAAAAGCTTCAAGTTGAAGTATTACTCTATTTGCTTAACTACCTACCTAAGGTATTCTTAATATCACCAAGTTCAATGACATCTTCTGAGATGAATACTGTTGCCCTCCTACGGTTTCTATTGTGCAATAATAATCGTCGCAACATTACTTTACTACCGACTTTCCATAGCCTCTTTACAACGACAACACCCCTGTAAACTCCCGCACAACACTTTGGTAGCCAATTAGCCACGGGAGGAGTTGCAACATACCCAGTAGATATCTCAACTTTCAGTTCGCTAACTACCGTGTACATTATCCACTACAGGCAACGACTTAAGACCCAGCACATACACTTTCTTCTATAGCCAAATCAACTTTAAGCAGCCTGTTTCAACTTGACCTTACATAATGTAGCTTAGAGAACAAGCCTACCTAAGGTAAGGAACTAGGAAAACCAAACATCATGTCCAACCCTAACCCCTATCCCCCCTAACCCCTCGACACCATAAAGAGAAGAGAATACGACCAGATGTTGCCTGCATCGAGAGTCTCATGTAATGTTACGCCTCTAAATCTGCATTACTTTCCCCCTATTATATCTTCGGACGATGTATTGCCAACCCAAGCGCCGCTTACGAAGACAACCCCAACAGACCAGCCGCCCAAATTCAGATATCAAACCAAACAGTAACAAGAACCCAAACGTTGCTGCATACCTTCGTAGAGACAGGAAGCCCAGACACAATTTCTATCATCACCACCGCAACCCCTCGTTCCATCACCGGGTCAAGAGAAACGTCTAACCAAGCCAACTATTGCCCCAGCCCCAACCCCGACAGAGAACAAAATGGCAAGAAAGACATTGTAAAAATCACAGCTAATTTCCCGCCTAACTAAGCCAACTCGGAGTACCCAGAAGAATTACACGGTCAGTCGATACTATTGTCGTTGTCGTTCTCGTTGGCGACCACGTCATATATAGGGTCGTCAAGCGGCACTATCGCACGCATAACATGCTCGCCGTTATCCCCGCCGCGCGCATCCTCAACCCCAGAGGCAGCACCCTGGACATCCTCGCCTGTGGAAGAAGGACACGGGCTCGTAGAAAGCCGAGGTACGCGTGACCTCCCTCTACTTATGTTCATCATGAACTGCGCCATCCGCTCTTCCCTCTGCGTGTCCTGCACAGTCTCCGTCTCCTGGATCTCCCGACTTTCGCTGACCTCCCGTATCTGCACATCGTCCACGGGCTTGTGTTGCGCTGCCATTGATCCTGGCTCAACACATTCCAGATACTGGTGCTCGACGTTTGGATCATCTGACGTTCGTCTGTCGTTTATGTCTAGCTGGGCCACGCGTGCGGCTAGCTTTTGGTCTGCGTTTGCCGTGTGCTCGTTTCTCTGATATTCGTGGATAGTCTGGCTTGTCGCCTGGCGCAGCTCAGAGGAGCAACTGTTCTCTAATATGCCTTGCTGTCCGCTCCCTTGATGTACCCTAGCAAGTAGCTTCTGGGTTTGCTTCTTAGACATCACGATTTGCTCTTCAAGTCTGCGCACGACATCGCTTGATGTTATGTCCAAGAAGTGGCCCGTTTGAGTGCCTACGGATATCTTTTGAATAGAAGAGCTATCGACACGGAGACTATCGTTCTCTTCTGCTAGGATCTTGTTGGCTTGCTTTAGGGCTTCGATTTCCGACTTGTGCTGCTTGATTTCGTTGTGTTGTACTCTGACGAGTCTCTCTAGGCCTTCCATTTTCTGCGAGACGATACGTGAAAGGTTTCGCTGGTCCGAGACTGAATCATTTACCATTCTGAGTTCTTCGCGCAGGGCTGAGACCTCCTGATCTCGCCCCGCCTCTTTCTGCATAGCATCTGCTATAGCCTTTAAGTTTTCCTCGAAAGCCTCATTCGTTTCCTTGTGGCACTTGAACTCGCACTTGAGATCTGCCCTATTCTCACAAAGAGCGTCAAATAACATCTGGGCTGTCCTGCTAGCTTGTCTATGTTTTCTAGCTTCATTCTCGACTCTCATTTCGCTTCTTTTCAAAGTCTCTCTGAGATGGTGTCTTTCCCTAACTAGTGAGGTTGCTGTCTTCTCTGCGGCAACGTAGTTTGAATCTAGCATTTTCTCTAGATCCCGAATTTTATGGTTCGCTCCATTGATCTGTTCGTTCAAGTCGGTTATTATAGCCAGATTATCTCTAGCTACTGCGCAACTCGAGCGTGGCCCAGATCTAGAGCACTTCTGGGGAGACATAACCCTCGAGCAGATTTCAGGTGGTCTTAGAAACCCTTGATCCATTGGATGATGTCGAATATCTATATTTTCACACTCGTTTTCGACGATATCTAAACCAGACGGTTGCATAGTTGCATTATAAAGGAAATAGACACAGCAGACTCTCGTCATCTCAACACTTTTTCTATCCGAATACGGCCCTGTTCTCCAAAACCAGTACCTAAACTCAAACTATCGCTTTGAATTTGGTTCTCTTGGGCCAGGGCGTCAAAACTAGCATTGCTCCTGATCGTTCGGGCTGAATCTCGGTTTATTGTTTCAGTATCGTCAATTTGAGTTTGAACAGATGCAGTTCCATAATCATGCGACAAAGAGCCAAGACCATTTGGGGAAGGTTTGAAGTGATAAGCCGACATAATAAAGTATGGTTACCGAGTTTGGTCGTTGCTATGCGAAAAGGGGTAATCTAGCGGCAGCACGGGACACTAGATTAAGTTCTATTGAGCACAACTCGACTAGAGTTTAGTGGTGATACTTGGGACTGATCGTTGGTTGATGGATCAGAAAGTATAATCAAGTGAGAATAATAAGACAATTAGAGGCGCTGATCAACGAAGTAGTAGAGTTAGGGTTGAGCTTCACGCCTTGAGCTAGTAGAACAACCCTCAGGTTCAAGTTTGCAAGATAGGGCGATAGAGTCATATACAGGTTAGTATATAATATGATTATGGGGTATAGGTATTGAATTCCGTTTCTATATATGCCGAGATAGAGCAGATGGTCCTCCCACTGTCCTCGGTGCAGTAAAGTAGTGCACAGGGCACCGCTCTCAGATCAACCCATATGAACAAGACAAAATGAAGATTGCCACGCTTGACTTTTGTGCCCTAAACTATCCGGCACGCCTAAGCGTGGCGCTCCTTGGCGACGCACACAATATCTCCAGCGACCACCACAAGCAAAGGAACCTGCCGTTTACCCTGTTCGTGCACCGCGATACACCTTGTTTCGCTGATATATCAGTCAACCTGCTTCTCGCAGCCGATGCGACCGAGCAACTCCTTACGATCGCTATGGCCGGGTAAACTGACACCAGAAGAACTTGCGCCTCTTTTAACGCCTGTCCGACGCTCCCACCCCTTTAAATCAATAGCTTCCACGCCAACTTCTTCCTCAAGCGGTTGTGCCTCTTCGTATTCGGTTTCTAGGTCCCTTTCGTCATCGCTCCTAGTATCATCGGCGCCGTCCCCCTTAACCACCCGGATGGCAACATTGATAATCATGAAGAACCAGAAGATGGTGAGGACTTGGAGACCAAGTAAACAATTTAGGAATCCCCACTGAATTGAGCTGGAGAAACAAACCGTGCCCTCAGAGCCATTAAATGGCTCTAGAACGTGACCCCACCCATCAGGGATAGGCAACGGTCCCGTCATATTTGAATTTGAGCCATGGTAGCAGCCCCAGGTGATTTGCTCAGGCAAATCCTTGTAAATACTGTAGCATGTCATAAGGTAAAATATGTGCCTGGCCACGAACCACGATACCATAAAAACCACAAACGTGGCATCGCATAGCTTCGAGAAGCCTAGGTATTTTAAGCATTTTGCCAGCTGAGATTGGAATTAGCTAAACAGAGCCAAGTAGAATTTAGGGGCTTAAATTATTCAACTTACTGGGAGGAACAAGTCGACCACATCCATAAGAACTAAGATGAGATTACCAACTCGAGTATGGCAATAGTAGTAACACCCGGAAATGAGCGTGATTGTGATGAAATGATGGGTGAGCATCTGATAGTGGTCCTTTCTGCGGTCTTCGATGTGGATAACAAGGACTTGCTGTACCCAGAAAGCCCATTGCGCCAGTATGTAGCCTTTCATGAGCCCGCCGAGCTCCCTATTTGGCCAGCCAGTCCAGAGCTCTTTCATATTGAGAAAGTAAGCGGAGTTGACGTATAAATACTATTCGAGGGCCGTTCGTTAGTATAATCGCCAGATATTGGATGGGTAGATAGGTAGGTATGCGCATGGCAAACCTCCTGCGCCTGAGTAGCATTAAGGGGGTTTTCATACCGTGCCAACCGTCCAAAAAACGCTGTAGTAAACTAGCATCCATGCCTGCTCAGAGAACCTGGTAACGTCTTTCCTCTTGGAAATACCCCATTGCCTGGCCAATGGTGCCAGTAGGTGTTCCATCAAACAAGCGCGGAGTCCAGTGAAGAGAACTACGCAGAACGAAATAAAATGGTAGTCATTCGTCCCAATCGCATATTTCCCAGATTCTGGGTTGTAGTATGAGAGGGTAAAAAATTTGGAGGTATGAGGGCGCGCTTTAGGAAGGCATATGTGCGTGAGGAAGATCAAAGTGATCAAGTTGAACGAGAGACCTATACGATTGGAAACTATTAGCGATAGCAAAGAATGTAATGGGAATACTAGCTAGTAGTACGATACTGCTGTCGTAGAACAGAGCACCGAGCAGGACCCTACACACTCCATGATAGGGGAGGGGTTTAAAATAGCTGTCCGATGGACTTTGTAGGTAAGTGTAAACATACCAGTCTGATTCTCGAGGAACCAACGAGCCAAGCCCCTCATGGGACCATCGTCTCTCCTCTTTACTCTCCGGACTAAGACCTTATTTTTGCTGGTCTGCATGTACAAAGGGCCGTTCATCGAGCTTCGCGACTTCACCGGCGGCCTTACCGCGCTGGTCTTGGGTTTCTCGACTTGAGGCTCCATGATTGTGGTAGACTCTATTGTATCCCCAAGGTCTGTGGGAGGGGCATTGGCCTCGGGTTCGTTCATATTCGAATCGAAATGTCCGCTAGAAATCCGGCTGAAACAATTTCTTTATGTTTAACCGTAAATATGTGCGGATATGTCGGCCGACGCAACAAGATCAGCGGGGAACTTTCGAAAAAAAAATCAGAACCAGTGATAACCAGTGATAACCAGTGATTACACAATAACGAATGCCTCACACGTCGGTCAAGCGATTGGCGGATGTGAGTAACGGGTGGTAACGGGGGTTAGGACACGAAAACAAATGCCACAAACAGACAAATCATCACTCTTATTTTAGAAGAACGAATGTGTCCAACGAGCCCCCGGAGCTGTATACAGGGGACATTGATCTGGTCGGGACCACCTGGACAGGACTGAAGGCAAGTTGTTTTTGAAGATGTTGAAGTGAAGGTGGGCCCCCCCACTGCTGTAAGTTTTTGATAGATTCGAGGATGAGCGGTCAGAGCGGTGAACCGGGAGAAGAAGAAAAAAAAAAAAAGGAGGAGGGGTGGTCAAGCTACACTACCTAAGGTTAAGTACTTACCTAGTAGGGCATCGTCCCTTTCCAACAGGGGATTAGTGGGGTATATCAATATAAATTTAGTGATCACCGATCGCTATATCATCGATAACTAGGCCACTTAAGTAATTGTAGATAGGGGACCCCCTTCATGGCCAAGAGGCTTTTGTCCTTTTCGTCCTTTTATTACGTGCACAGAACCCCCGTACCTTTGGCGAAACGATGGAGACAAGCCAAGGGTATAGATCAGCGATCGATATACTTACATGCCTCTCAAACGTGGTAACATAACATGGTAACATCTGATTTTTTGTTGAGATGAGACCTTTTGCATATGTACCTAGCCTAGCCCGATAACCTGAACTTGAACTTGCAGTGCCAATTTAAATGATACTATAGCTTTTGGTGCTACATTTTGTCAATATACAAGCTTGAAACGCTACGAAAAGTAAACAAGCTACTTTATAGCTTCTTTTTTCCTCTTCTAGATAACTTACAATAGCCAATTGATTAGGTGAAGCTTAGGAGAGTTTACGTATTGTACCGCGGTTTCATTTCAAGAGCCGGATCGCCTACTTTGATGAGTTCATAACATCCATGGAATCTTTTTCTCTCCTATTCTTTCCCCGCCGCAAGCTTCCCATCTCCAATGCAACCAAAAGCTGTTTGTGGATATGAGTGGCCAATGGGAGCTAACTGCTCCGGGACTGGCAACTCTATTGCATGGATTTGTTTTTATATGTATCACCTTTCCACATGGCATCCTAGCGAATAAGCTGCGCCGAATTTCGCACAACCACACATCTCATCTTCTCGTGTGTTGTCGCTTATTCCCCGGAAATTCTTCGCGAGCGGGGAATCCATGTGGACTGCTGTGGCTTTCCGGTATGTATATAAATTAATTACGAACCACGGGACACTCTTCAAAAAGAAAACCAATGGTTTTTAATATCTGAGTTTTATCTAATACGATAGAAGTTTAAGATATCTTCATTAATACTTGGTAACAAACCTGGTAAAATCATAAATGTGTATTAGGTGCGTAGGTATGTATGTGGATGAGGTAGGTCAGGATATGATATGATTGGTCGTAAGTTGCACAATGCAGGATATATTGAAAAATATAACAAAGTCTTATTCGGAAAGTCTGAAAAGGCTGGAACTGCAGAGACTCAGCTGCCTACCTAGGTAGGTAACCTTCTCGACTTTCACATGCCGCCCCGCACTTTTAAGTTATTACTAACCATATTCAAGCCACATGTGGCCTTCTAACAATCTGGAATCTGGGTTGAACCTAGGTAAAATCAACAGCCAATGAAAACGAAGCAGATAATGACTAAGAATTTCTTGTCGATAGTACCAGAAGCATTGAGAAAATCCATGGACCCACTCTTGGTTTTTCTATGACCGGGCTCTGACACTGCACAGCCTTCCCGCACCTGCCTAACTGATGACCTACAGTAGGTTACCTAGGTACTTACATTACTCACATTGCGCCCCGCGATTCGCCCGCCGCAAGTTCCTTTCTACATAGCAGCCACCTCTCTCACCTAGAACAACCTCCATCTTCGCATCACCAGTAGATCATTAGGTACTCGTTTTTGCTTGCTCTGTCCATCTATCATCAGCCGCGACGAACCGAGACCGTCTACGGATAAGAAAAAACACAATGGCCGCCAATACCAAATACACGCCGGCGCCCACGCAGGATCCCGACGCGGTAACCTGGTCGCAGGCTCCCCCGTCGTACCAGGACGCCGGATCGAACAACGCATCGGCCGGACTCTTCGGCGACGCCCCGCGCAGCAGCGAGGACAACATCCCCGATGACTTCAAGTTCGGCGGGTCTGTCGCCGAGGCGACCATCGATATTCGCAACCAGTTCATTCGCAAGGTGTACACCATCCTCACGGTACAGCTGCTCACCACCGCCGTCGTCAGCGGCTTTAGTTTTTGGAGCGATGGCTACAAGACGTGGATTCAGTCGCACCCAGGTCTTGTCTGGGCATCGGTATGTTAACACAATCTTTCCCTCCAAGTAGGTAAAGCATTTATGAATGATGGAAGCTAACATGATGATGCTTACAGCTTTTCGGCTCCATGGCTTTCATGGCTCTGACCTATTGGAAACGCAAGTCCTACCCGACGAACTTACTCTTTCTCTCCGGATTCACCCTGCTCGAGGCCTACACCATCTCAGTTATCGTATCCTTCTACAAAACACAGATCGTGCTCAACGCTGTTATCCTGACTGGCGGTATATTCGTCTTCCTGACGCTGTTCGCTTGCCAGACCAAGTACGACTTCACTTCCTGGATGCCGTACCTATTCGGTGCGCTCTGGGGTCTCTTGCTCTTCAGCTTCATGATGATGTTCCTTCCTAGCAGTAGCACCGGTGAGCTCATCTACGGCGGACTGGCCGCTTTGATTTTCTCGGGTTACATCTTAGTCGACACCCAGCTCGTCCTCCGCAAGCACCACGTCGAGGAGGAGATTGCTGCCGCCATCAGCTTGTACCTGGACATCATCAACTTATTTCTGGCCATTCTACGCATCCTAAACAGCCAGAATAACAACTAGACAAATTGACGAGGGTTGGGAGAATAATCTCGATTGTAATGATACGGATATTAAGTTAAACACGGAATTGTAGGCTTCCTTTCGCAGAGAGGACGGACGCAAAGGACATTTTTGAGAAAATCATCTGTCCTAGACGTTATTGCAGGGCCTATATTGTTTCCTTGTGTTGTTGTATGAGTTTAGGTAATGGCGTCTTAGGAAGTAGCAACTTGAGCTTAGTATTAAGGGTTGCTAAAACTAGGGGCTTGGTCTGTTCCATGGTATAGTTAGTTACGTCGGGATAGTCGAATTCTCAGCTAGCATAAATATCTCTTATTCAAAGCGTCTTGATACCTTAAAATTACGAACAAGCATACAGTTTACAATCCTGGTGATATCAAATTTTCGTCAGCACTGGGGAAATGATATAACGAAATAGTATACTAGCTCAGTATTTATTTTCGTCTACACTTCTACGGCAACGTCTTTCCAGCATAGCAATAAAATATCATCACCGGAACAAATAAAAATCTAGATCATGAACGTGATCGTAATAGACATCAAAGAAAGCTCATATTGATATCTGCATTAGAAGGCACTAATACTAGGAGAAAAGGGGGCATAAAGTAGAAAAGGCTACATAATTGGCACTGGTAAAACGGACATCGACTCGCAAAAGATACAAAGGTAGGCGAACTGTTTCCTCTACCACCTTCAGTTTGTCCACAGGACGACGTGTCATCAGATATGAAAAATTGGGAAGGCAAACATTGCTTCCCTTTCCCACTGCGCCATCGTCCCTCTTCCGAAAATTGGGCATGCAATAATTGTAAGGGGATATCAACTCTGGCTTTTATTCCTGACAAGTTTTCACCAAGCCCTCTGCTATTCCGCATCCCACACAATCATTAATTTTGTTGGATTTTCGTATAACGCGTCGTTTCAAATGGCTTTAAGGGGTCAGGGACTAGGGGATATCAAACACCCAACGCCACAATCCGTACTGCTAGCTGGCCGCCGATATACCAGTAGTAGGAGATAGGAAAGATGTCGTTCTAGGATACTTAGTTGGCCTCTTGTTCGCCATTCGCCTCTGGTGTGCCTGCGGCGGCAGCGGCCTCTCGTGCCATTCTCGCTTCGATTTCGCGTAGTTGGGACTCGCGGGCCAAAAGCTCCTGTCGTTTTTCGTTGATCTCGCGCTGGACCTTGACCTCGATTTCGCGGAGCTTCTCCTCTTCTCGGCGAAGTTGCTCTTCCTTTAGACGAACAGACTGAGAAGCCAAATCCTCAGGGTTCATGGAAGAATCACTGTAAATAGTACGTTAGAAAATAGTCATAATAGTCCGTCAAAGGTAACTTACACTCCAGCACCACCCTCGACGCTCTTGCTAAGTTTCTCAGTACGGTAATTTTCGTATAGGAAATCGTGGGTAATCTCCTTCAGATCAGCAAGATGGCTGTGAAGGAGGGCTGATCGAATGGCCAAGAAGTCAGAGTGACGAGGGTTGTCAACCTCAACAACACCCCAAGGATATTGCCGGGCTCGAACTTTACGACCACCAATCTCGATAACATCTTCGGAGCCAACTATAGCAAAGGGCATTAGACCTCTGAGCTCGGCGTTCTCTTCAACGGTATCCTCATCATCCTCTTCGATATCGTAAGGGAAGTTGTACACGGGGATTCGGTAGTGCTCAATGTCCTCCATCACAAGCTTCTTCGACTCAGCCAGCTCGGCGGGGGTCAGCGAATCGGCACGGCCAATAACGGGAATGACGTTGACACGGGGAGCAAGGCGCTTCATCAGTTCGATGTCGAGTTCACGGAGACTATAGACAATGAGTATATAATAACGTTGCTAGTCGAGAAGCAGCACCTACCCATGACCAGTGGGAGTAATAAAGTACAGCATAGCATGTACTCGGTTGTCCCTGAATCTGGGGTTTCGCTTGATACGCGACTCCTCGGCCAAGATGTCGTCATATTGTCTCTCGAGATACCCAACAATCTCTGAGAAGCTATGGATGAAAAGTATCAGTAGACGTTGTAGCTGTTGTTCTTAGATATTAAGTCGTACCTTGCCTCGTTGTCAATCTGGTCGCCAAAACCCGGTGTATCAACAATGGTCAAAGAGATACGGGTGCCCTCTTCGTCCAATTCGAGCTCTACGGCAGAATGTTAGAACTTGCTTATTACTCCCTAGGACAAGCATTAAACTAACCAACAGTGATGGGCTTGATCTTGACACCATCCTCGACGTGAGCAGCAGTAGCGTCGTCAGAGTCTTTGTGGGTCAATACACTCTTGCTGCAGAGGGTGTTGACGAAAGTCGTTCTTCCTACATAGTAAGAGCTACGATTAGCATCTCCATTATGCTGGGCGGTTGATAGCTTGATGTTTTGATGGTTTGAAGGAGATTGTACGTGGAACGCGTCAAGACTAAGGGGGGCTGTGTATACCTGTTCCTGAAGCACCACAGACCATCAAGCAGAACTGAATTCCCTTCTTGACGTTCTTCTTCCGGCGCATCATCTTCTGTGAACGCATCATGATTGATTAGCAGCTACAACGAGATTATACAACGATGACGGATGGAGAACACGAGAGTATGATAAAGATGTAAGTAACAATGCAAAGTGCAAACATGGAACGCGAGATTCGTTCGGTTGCAGAGTGATAGGTGATAGGGGAGGCTCACCGCTGGGGACGACATATTAGGCTAAGGCTTGGGTTTCGCAATGGGGTGATTAGGTCCGCGGGCAAAAAGAATTGAAATTACAATGATTGACGATGGTAGGTTTCGTCAACGGAACGGGATCTTCGCAAATGGGGGTATCTAAAAACGGCGTTGTGAAAGGGGGGGTGTGATCACAGCTTGGGGCTCGGGTGTTGATGAAGGAAACCAAAGAAGATTTGAGAAATGTTAGGGATTCGCTTCGCCAAAGCTGTTGACGGCTCTCTCCTTCCCTCTTCTCCAGAAAAAAAAAGTGCAATTTCAACACCACAAAACGGTTGCTACAGAGGGGACCAGACAGGGGTTACGGGGCCACTAGAAAGGCACCAAATCAGAGCACGGATCACTTTGTTTCTCCCCCGAATTCAGGGGCTCAGGCTTTGGTAGGTACCGCAAGAGCTAAAGGAGGTACTAAGGTACTTACTATTTAATTGGACGGGCGGACAAGCCAGGGTCGACCCAGCACTACTTTCCCCATGTCAAATTAACACGAGGCTGGAGATGCAAGACGGGAGAGAGCAAGTAATTCAACCGTAACTTCCACTTCATCGTCTTTACATAGTAAGCGTGCCTGTTCCAAACATCTAAATTTACAAGTACCTAGGTACATACCTATGTACATGTATCAATTGGTGGAAGACCGGTAAATGGGACACAGCCACAGCTTCAATTGTTTACGCTATATGTATTCCGTAACGCCACTAAATAAAAGATTACGAATACATACCTCTCTATGTAGAGGAAGAGCTCTCAGACCATTCCTCCCCTATGTAGGTACCTACAAAACCAAAACAATGGCCGGGGGCGCGCCGACCTAGTGTAGGTAGGTACTTCGTACATAGTATCAACGTAATAAGACCTAGATCATGTGGTCCGTGCATATACATCTTTAAATCTCCATAGCATCTTATGTACCCATGGAACTCTCACGTGTACTGTACCTGCGCAACATATTACGCCCCATCCCAAGTAATCGCCTGGACCAGACTTGTGATGATAATCAACCAACTTCATCGGTTCAAAGGCTTACCATTTTCTCTCATTCTCATTCAAAAGCTTGTATAGATCCAGCAGTATCTGATCCTCTGAATTATATCATTCCTAATTCGTTCGACGTTTCATCAGCCCTGACTCATCTCTGATCTCTGGCCCCGTTGGCTGCCTGCATGTAGAACAGGTACTGAGAAAGCTTAGGCAGGCCAGTGCTTATCGTCGCATTCCATCTATAGGTCCGTTTTATCTAAAGGCTGTCCCAACGGAAAGCTTCACGAATGTGCGATATAGCAATGATCTGGGATACCGAGACTCTACCCGAACTCTCTGGTTTCTTTTGAGACTCAGCATCTATCATTCGTTTCGTTTACTTCGTCCACTGTGGTCGTCGTGGTCGTCGTGGTCGTCGTGGTCGTCACTCTCGCTAGCCTACTTTATTTATTCCTAGTACCAGCGTAGACTTATAAAAACAGCCATCATGAATACTCGACCAGTTATCGAAAACCCCAGCGAGCATGCTGCTCTTTCCGTCACCTTCAACCATGACGCAAGTCGATTTGTTGTTGGCTTAGACTCGGGGTTCTGCAGTATGTTTTCGACGACATACCTTTTAGCTTGTACATTTCACTCACTTACATGCTTGATAGTCTTCCTCTCAAATACTTGCCAAATACAAACAGCAAGAGGTATGTTACGATACCTATCTATTTATTTTTTTATATATATATTTTTTTATAGACATCAGTCTTACAAGCCTTAGTTTTCAATGCGGGCCTAGGTCTAGTCCAGATGATGGGCAACGCCAATTACCTTGCTCTTGTTGGTGGCGGTCGCTCACCCAAGTTCCCACAGAACAAGGCCATAATATGGGATGATAGCAAAGGCAAGATAGGCCTTGAAATAGCTACCCTCACCGCTGTTCGCGGCGTCCAGATTTCTAAGACGAGAATTGCCGTTGTTCTGCAGAACAGCGTACGTCTATATGCTTTCCAGAAGCCTCCTACGCCACTCGCTATATATGAGACTACAAACAATTATCTCGGTCTTTGCTGTCTAACGGAGAGACATTTGGTTATCCCTGGTAGGACGCCGGGCCAAGTCCACGTTATACAGTTCGACACGGGCAGCGTTAGCATCATTCCTGCACACTCTTCAAGTTTGAGAGCGCTGCAACTAAGTTCAGACGGAGATCTACTAGCAACAGCAAGTGAGAAGGTAGATGAAATCATTACTTGATTAATTCACTATGCTAATTCACTATGCTAATTATGTATAGGGCACAATTGTCCGCATCTTCTCCACTAATAGGGGCGCGAAGCTTGCTGAACGACGTCGTGGTAGCGAATCTGCTACTATATACTCCTTACGTTTTAGTCCATCCGGGAACATGCTAGCCTGCACCTCGGACAAAGGCAGCTTGCACATTTTCGATGTTCCTAACCCACGTAATCAACAGTTTACACCACCTCCTCCAGCTCCCAGCGGAAGCAGTCCTAATACTGAGGCGAGGAATAAATGGGGTATCCTGAGCAACATACCATTTGGTCCGTTTGCTGACATCTATTCTTTTACCTCTGCACCTTTTGAAACAGGGGAAGAGCCCCTTCTTCCTACCCCTCGAAATCATCCAGGGGGGGAGACCGTACTGGGCACTAGTAGGCCCGTGAAGGGGGTGATCGGCTGGATAGACGAAAGCACTCTAATCGTCGTGGGTGCCGGGCAAGATGCGCGTTGGGAGAAATTTGTTCTCAGGGAGGGCGAAGACGGCAGATCCATAGTCGTCAGGGAAGGCTGGAAGAAATACCTAGGGAATTAGGACGAGCTCAAGGGTTATTACGAGCATAGTCCCAAGCATAAGCTAGATGAGTACCTAGGGGAACCATATAAGAGGTACTGATTTGAAAGGGTCATGGGGAATCGGCGTGGAGTATATGGATTCGCGGGTCCGGCGTTATCTGGTCAGAGGCGGCGTTAGAAATCATGTTGCACTAGGATATGGGCTGGCAAGATTACCTGACTAGCGTTGACTTTTGGGGGGTATCTTTATTAAGCGATTAGACAACATCGTCAGTCTCTATACGAACGTGGAGACCTGCTTCTACTTCGTCTACTTTTACGTTCTCGATCCTTATCCCTGTCCTCGTCATCGTAGCGGCTAGAATGCTTCTCGCGCCTGTCCTTATCGGTTTTGTCCTTATCGTCTCGGTCTCTTTGTTCCCTATCACGACGTCGATCGCGGTCGCGGTCATCGTCCCGTCTTTTCCGCTCGCGATCTCTAGAATCATTCCTTCGTCTTGGAGGCTTTTCATCCCGTTCTCGACTGCCTTTCCCAACTGGTGTTTTATCCCGTCTAGATCTCCTATGGCGATCACGCTCCTCGTTGTCCTTATCGTCTCTCTTAGATCTATGGGAATGGTGGTGATGCCGATGCTTATCCTTCCTATCCTTCCCCCCCTTATGCCCGCTCTCCTTTCTTAATGCTAACTCGACTTCTTTCTTCTTCTCCTCGATCAAGAAGCCCTTCATAGGGTCATCATCATCGTGTTCTTCGATAAGCTTCGCTAGCTCTATCTCCTCTTTGATCATCGGGCGTCTCTCCTCTTCCTCTTCCTCACTAGCGTCTTCCATATCTACATCCTCGCCCTTAGCGGCCTTCTCGCGGCGCATGATGTCTTCCCAGCCAACTTTAAACTCGTCGGGATCCTCATCGTCGCGGGGCTTGTATCGGGCGTGGTCGACCCTGACTAGGCGACCGTTGATCTCGGCGCCTCCCAAGTTGTCCACGGCCAAGTCCGTACTGCGCTGATCCTCGTACTTGAGCCAGCCGAATCCTTTGCTCTTGCCCGTTTCCTTGTCCCGCGCGAGCTTTAGGAAGACGGGCTCTCCGTACTGCGAGAATATCGTGATGATGTCACCCTCGGACAGTTCGTACGGCAGACCACCAAAGTTGACGAAGGCGGTGTCGCGGTAGTCGGTATGCCAGGAGGCTTCTGGCGATCTGGTTTGCTTTTAGTATAAAGGGGTTCGTATAAAGGGGTTTACAATGCGACTAAAGAGAAACAAAGAACTTACACCCCATTCTCAATCTCGCGTTTGTTAAGCGCTTGGATGGCGCGTATCTGATTCATAGCGTCGCATGCAGTTCTAATGAGTTTTGGGGAAATATATAAGACAGAGACAAGTAGGTAGCTTGGGAAAGCTGCGAAATGGTAAGAAAGGTTACGAAGAAGCTTAGCTGCAAGGCTGATTGAAGACGGGGATTAGAATAATTAGAAAATGCAGCTGCTTTGAGAGCTCCAAACGCGACTCAAGGTACCTGTACCGCAATTTGTAGGCCGGTACCTACTATGTGGTACCTACATAGGTAGGTATGTAGAAGGTGAGAATCTGGTCTAAGCTTAAAAGGGGAATTATCCACGTAATTCTTCCCAGTAGTGTAGGTACCTAAGTAGGAGCTAAGCTTGATGTCGTACCTACATGTAGTATTACATGTACCTAGCTGCTTCTGTGAAATCCCTAGAACAAAACCCCTGCACTGGAGAAAACGTCGGACCGTTGAAGCCTGAAGGACCACTAAAGTCTATCAGTGATCTAGGCCGGTTGCCCGTTAATCAAATGCTTAGGTTAGAAGCTTCCAAGTTCAAGGGGAATAAAAAGTACCTAACATGTACGAAGTAGCTACATGTTTCTTATGTTGAAAACGAACCGCCCTTGAAGCAGAGACCCATTAATCTAACCTACCTATCTCACCTTTGTAATTTCTCCCCCAGGTGTCTCATTTCGTTGAATAAAAATAGAAAGAAAAGAAAAGAAAGAAGAAACGTCTTGATGAGCTTCACCTAAGATTCGAATTCGACCTTAAGACCGATCGCAACTTTTGATCGCAGCTTTTGATCGCAACTTTAACCCTATTACGTTGAGGGCAGCTTTAGACGCAAACAGGTCTCCCCCAATGCTACCACCAATCGATCGAAATCAAACATGACGGCCAATTCGAACCGGTTCTCCACGTATACGAGTACCTCAGTCGGTACCGGTTCGGAGGGAAAGAAGGATGACCAGAAAAAGGACATGTGGAGCTCTATGCTCGACTCCGTCGCCAGCGGCAAGAGGCTACCTGAGAAAAACTTGCTGGTTCTTGGTATGAACGAGTTTCTCCGAATCGTTAGACATAGAGGGACGACTAACAAGATCTCAGGGGGTTCCGTAGATTCGCAACGAGACTTCCTCGAAGCCCTGTCGAGGAACGACGGCCGGAAAGGCATAGATCGGAATAGTCAAAAGACCCCCCCGATAGCCAATAGTTTTGCCCTTGGATATACATATTACAACGTCTTGGACGCAGACCAGGAGGGTCAGTTCATCGAGATCCGCGTAGTCAAGTTTTCTGCGCTGACCCAAACCAGACTTTCTAGCACGCATATCACTTTACCTCCTTACCAGTCCATCTCCCTCCTTTACTGAGCTCATCAAACCGCTTTTGACTCCGCAATCGATCGCGAACACATTAATAGTAATACTGCTTGACTGGTCCCAACCTTGGCTTTGGATGCGACAGCTTCGAGAGTGGTTGCTGCTGTTGCGAACCGTCATCATGTCCCTCAGTCCGGAGTGCAAGGAGACGATGGAGGAGGTAATGATCAGCTGGAGAGACCGTGGGCGAACAGGTGGATCCGTGAATCTGGATGGCACCGGCGCAGTTGCGGCAGAAGGAGACGTCGCATTACCGCTCGGGCCAGGAGAGTGGGAAGACGCTCTAGGCTTACCACTCTGCGTCGTATGCCAGAATGTGAGTTACTCTGGTTCGATTTACAGAATTTACAGGTATAGTACTAACCGGCACAACTAGTCTGAAAGAATAGACTACTTGGAAAAGACACAAGCGTGGAAAGAGGAGAAATTCGATCTCGTACTTCAATATCTAAGAACGGTGTTATTAAGACGTACGTCCACGGTACACAATTTACCCTTACAGCCTTACTAATTTATAACCAGACGGTGCTTCTCTTATTTACACGACACCATCGATGGCCTCGCCGTTGCAAAGCCTTGTTCACGCCAGTCTTGGAATCCACTCGTTACTGAAGCGCGGCTCCTTGAAAGCCAACGTCATTGACCGAGACAAGATTGTAGTACCCCCTAACTGGGACTCCTGGGGTAAAATTCGAGTATTACGGGATGGCTTCGACGTGGAAACGGTTAGCGAAGGTTGGTCGATAGACCTCGACCAACCTTTTCCCACGACAAAGACCAACGAGGCAAACGATGCTAGCCACCAAGTAGGTGGCGACACAAGCGAAACGAACGAGCCCGAAGGGTCTTCTGTCGCACTCTACGAGGAGCAGGTCCAAGACACAAGTCTGGATGCCCTACAACTGGCTCAAGGGAACCAAGATACGAGCAAATTAGAAGTGCCCTCAGTCGACACACAAGCCTTCCTTGCCAATCAGTTAGAGCGACTTGATCAACAGAAGAAGATAGACGAGAAGACTGGTAAAGTTAACAACAACAACAACAACACATTCTCACTAGAAACCCCCGATGATATGATCAGCGATCATATTGGTCCGGTGCAGTTTAATATGGGTGGTATTCAAGTGGATGCCGACGATATGGTACAGCGGCTTAAGGTAAATCTCCATTTGTATCTCAAGACCATTCATTATCACTAACCTATTAATAGGACCGTCAAGCCTACGGACAATCCCCTGAACCCCGCCCGGATGAAGAGTCCCGGCTTGAAGAAGGAGGGACACAAGTAGATACGGATACGTTAGCCAAGTTCTTCGGCAATCTAATGAATAGAAAGCCAACAGCTGGCGGCAGCGTAAGCAAGACGTGATGGGAATAATGACGACGCTACGGGTGCAACACGATGAAGGTTCATGGCCGAGTTGCATGTAGTTAGCAGTGACGAGATCATTCGTGCAATGTGAACGACTCGAACATGGAGATCACAAGGAGTAATCCCGACGTATCACGCTCAATCTAACGAGCAACGCATCGTGGTTCCTAACGGGTTCACACAGAACCCTCCTTTCTCATTTGTACAACCCCGTGTAAAAACAGGGGGTCGTGTTGGTATCTGGGAGTGGCAGGAGAATAAGGAGGGAGAAGCGCAGTAGAGCAAGGGACTACCAGGGCAGGATTTTTTTTTTTTTTGGTGAAAGATAAGGAGAAAGAGACTCGACTCGCATCAGCACTTGGAGTTATCGGCTGTCCGTCTATCTGAAAACATACCGTCTTTTCCGCCCGGGAGAGCGATAAATCCCTTGCATCTATGGTTCGATAACTGTAGAATAGATACCCCTTAACCTAAACAATACGAAGAGAACAGAAAAATATCTAAAATTGCTACTTTGCCTGTGATACGTATCCGGACTTGATTTAAACGCTTCGATTGCTATAACTCGCTCGCTCGCTTACTTGAAGGTGTTTACTCGGAATTGCGTAACTACACGCATAGCCATTCAAGGTGAAGACTGTCTTGGCTACCTAGATAGGTACCTACCTAACTATCGACAGTACAAGAATTCAATAACCCGTTTCTGGCCTGACAGCATAGCAGACGTCAATGTAGAAGAGTAACGTAGCAAGAAACGAAATAGCATACGCCACAGGTCTTTCTGCACTGGTCCCTTCTTCGAAACATTAAGGCTCGCTCCTCAGGACCTAAATGCTCAACCCTCCTTTCCATGCCACACATACTAACACCCCTACGACGACCAACTCCGAGGCAAATAGATAACCCCCTTAGAGTCACCCCCAACGAACTCTGTTCAAGAGATAGACCTCGAACCACATACATGTTACGAGAACATCAAAAAAAAAAAAAACGCGGCGCAACAGACATTCAGACAGACGTTTATCTCATGCAAAAGTTCAGGACTATGGTCATCCTCCCCCTAGACTTCATACACATATGCAACCAACCAACCAACCAATTAATCGCCAAGCAATGCAGAAAATAATATAACATACACGTGAACCTATCCCCGTAAGCCTTGTCCCGTAGACACCCCCCTGGTATCTATCTTGATCCATGCTCCCTCCCAAGACGAAAAGGAGAAACCTTCATTTCATGCATCTCTAGATACGTTTTCCACTAATACTTATTCGATATTTTTTTTCGTGGAAACCCCCCAGCCGTAGGGTACCTACTCATGGGCTGGGTTGAACGGGAGTAGATCATTGTGACCTAATTTGCGATACGTACCATCCAGAGACCTATTGTACACGCCTTGTTCTCGTGGGAAGGTTGAAACCCGGGAGTCTCGTTTGTTAAGCCAGGCATTCGGTTTTCCTAGAGCATGATAACGAAGTGTGAATAAGGCCGCGCGGGGAGCCTTATAGAATGCCCTTAATTTCTCAGGTACAGGCTTCTCCTCAACTGCGAGCCAGTGCTGGCCACCTAGTTTCCAGGGAATGATGCCGCACAGCAAGCCAGGGAACAGATTCGGATGCTCCAACATCTCGACACCAAAGGCATTGACGCTTTCCTTTGCCAGATAAGTATACTGCTCGTCGCCTAGGAGCCCACCTAGCCTAAAGAGATTCGACACAGACACTGCGTTGACGGACGGCTGCGAGGTATCCATAGCGTCCTTTATGCGAAGCAGCGTGTGCGGCGCACTCGAAGTCGTGGAGTAGAAGGCCCCGCATCTAGCGTTTGCCATCGTAGGTGTTGGTGTAGGATTGTCGTAGAAAAGTTTGATCTGAAGCTGCTGTAACTCATCGGCCCATTCAAGCCACGACTCGTCGGCCGTAGCTTGGTAGAGTTCGACGAGTCCTTCAATCAACAAAGCATAATCCTCTGCAAATGCCTCAATATATGCTTGACCGGCAGAATATACTCTATAGAGAACTTTCTTGTGGCTATCCCAGAGCACGTTCTTAATGAACCGAGCTGCATTCTTGGCTACTTGTAAATATTTTTGCCCTTGTCTTGATACATCAGCATCGGTACTAATTAAAGCTGAAGCTGTTCGTGTCAGGGCAGCAATTGCCATGCCATTGTACGCTGTGACAATTTTCGTGTCAACCTCTGGATGAACTCGTTCTTTCTGCCGATGAGAGCGCAACTTCACCTTAGCAGCTTGGATTCGCTGCTTCACCTCGCCTTCCGAGATCCCGAGCTGCTTACTTAGCCTCGTAGAGTTCTTAACGATATGGAGGACATTTTGGTTGAGGAACTCATCGTGAGGATCGTATTCGCGGTCGACGTTGCCATGCTCCTGGACGTTCCAGTACGCGGCCGCGATCGCGCTATCTTGTTCATCACCAACAATAGCGTCAAACTCCTTCCTAGTCCACAGGTAGTAGGCTCCATTCTGCATGACTTTATCTCCCTTTCGGTTATAGGAATCCGCTGCCTCGCTGGTGAAAAATCCACCATTTGGTGACAGCATTCTATCACTAACGATATAATCGGCAACTTCAGTCACCACATCAGCAAATTCGCCGTCCTTGGTGCCTCCAGACAAAAGCCAAGCATCTAAGAAGAGACCGAGGAGCAAGGCATTGTCTATCAGCATCTTTTCGAAGGCCGGCAATGACCAATCCCTCGTAATAGAATAACGATGGAAACCACCCCCTATATGATCATGCACCGCGCCGTTTGCAATCCTTCGAAGGGTATGCAAGCCCATACCACTAATGTATTTACAGTCGTTTGGTCCGACTACATCCTGGACGACTTTCGGGAATCGGGTAGCTCTCAGAAGTAGGGAGAGCTTTGCTGGGGTTAAGAACTTATCCTCGAGGCCGAAGCCACCGAACATGGGGTCAAAAGTCTTTGTGATCCGTTCGTATGCCTCTTCGATCTGGTCCAAGTCGACCTCACCATAAACTTCATGGGGATGATCGGAACTCGAAGTAGCCGTTTCTACTTGAGTAGGAGAGTTAGACGACAAGAAATCATTGCCTGCGTGGTTCAGGGTACCCTCCGCCGAGAGATGGCTCAGCTCGACCATCATCTTTTTTGCCTCTTCGCGAACACGAGGCTCTTCGTCCAACCACGAAGCGAGGACCTTCTTAATAACGATAAGCCAGTCGAGCGGCTTCTCAACTCCGTCATTTTCCGCCCCCACGTCGTCCTGGACACCAGGCGCGGCCCAATAAGTCCCGCTGAAGACGGGTTCCAGCTCTGGAGTAAGGAAGACATTTAGTGGCCAACCTCCGCTTCCACTGAGAGACTGATTATAACTCATATATATGTTATCAATATCGGGTCGTTCCTCACGATCGATTAGAATAGGCACGAAATTCTCGTTGAGTAGAGATGCGACTTTGGGGTTAGAAAAAGACTCTTGCCTCGTAATGTGGCAGTCTAGGAGCAAATCAGCATTGTCTAGTTGTAATACCAGCTGCGTATCGACATACAATGGGACGCGAGGAAGCCGATACTAAGGAATATCAATTTATTCTCTTTAGTTGCTCGGCTGATCGCATCGTCGTCTAGGAGTTGCCAGGCAACCAGACTATCGGAGTGCGCTCGTACGTAGGGGCTCTTGCTATCTCGGACACGGTTTCTGAGTGGCTTGAGCTCAGTAGGAATGAGTTGTGCTGCCCCGGACGAGATAGCTGTGTTACTCGAGTTGATCTCGGAAGCTGACAGCTTGGTTCCAGCCTTCTCAGGCTGCTGGAGCTGTGCTGACATCATCTTGACCTAAGTTGACTAACAGAATCACACACGAGCTTGTAGGTTGGATCTTTAGTGGGAGGGTGAAGAAGGATAGGATGTAAGAGGTTGCTAGTAGTAAGGTTGCTAGTAGTAGAGTTGGCCGCGGTTGGTCGCAGTTGACCAATATTCCTCTGCTTCTGCCTTGCAGCTTGCAGCTTGCAGGCCATACACCGGATTCACCAGCTCTCACGAGCTTACATTACTTGTAGATTGCTTGCAATAATAGTAAGGCTCTTTGAGGGGTTGACCAGCCTAGTGGCAGTTCTAGCGTCAGTCCTAGCGGTTCTCACGGGGCGCAATGCGCAATGCGCAATCTAACCGGAAGTAAATTCTGCGTATGAATACAAGAAGGTTGAAGCTCCAAGATGGCTGGATGGGAAGAATTTGGGAAACTATGTTCTCAAGTGCGAGCTTGACAAGGTGGAGTATATGCTATATTAGGGCATGTCCAATCAAATTGAGGGTGAACTTTTTGGACAAATCATGGAAGTTATAAATCGGCAGTAGGGGTGGTATATTGTATAACTGCATGAATAGCGGGGCTGTCGGGTCAAGTACTTGATGGTAGAAAATACCTAGGTACATTTCCGGTGCAACAAATAGACGAAGATGACAATAACAAAAGACTTGATATTTTATTCCCAAAAGATTCCAACCAAAGATGACGTAGGTGGGTAAGTAGGTAGGTACGTACCTAATTTATACCAAGAGTGGACGTGGGGTAACTCAAACTTGCTTTCGATACAAAGACCCCGAAGCTGCCGAGAAAGCTCCACCAAATATAACATTTACACCTTTCTACTTCGACTTTACTTAGATGAGATCAATCTCATTCTCAACAACAGTTAAACTTGAAAATTAGTAGTATGAGATCCTATAAGACTATATATCCTCGGGGACTATATAATACCCTTACATTTGTTACACCTATTTGTTACAACAAAGAAACATAATACAGGACTAACTCCCCAGCTTAGGTACTTCTCATCCTTCCAATCTATGCGACACCGGATAATACAAGTGCTAGCTTAAAGAAGAAGCTGCTGCTTCAAGAAGCGTTAGCCTTCGAAGTCATGGCAGCGATTCCCTGTCCTACCGGCACCGAACTAGCAGCCATCACATCCATAGCTACCTTATCAATCCACACGTCATTAGACGGCGCATTGCCCAACGCAAACGAGAAGACGAGCTGGAGCATATGGTCACTAGACGCCGTTGTGTAGGGAAACTCTACACGCGTCCAGTTTGTAGCTCCCTTGTCCGCGGCATCCACTCGGTGCGCCACTTCGCCGTTAGCAAACAAATTAACGTATGAGTTCGTGGCACGCCCGCTTCCAAACCGCACCCAGAACGAGACGACCCAGGCCATGCCCGGTGAGGCCGGGGGCGAGATCAGCGGACTAACTAACCGCAGATTTGCCCGCAGGTCGTCCGTCTGCGAGTTCCGCCGCATATGCACGTGAAACGCGCCGCACGACCCGTTGGCCCCGGGGCGCGCTATTGAGTAGCTCGTTGACATGACGTCCACCATGTCGATACTCCATGGGGACAGGCCCTGCTCGAAGTCGCCGTTCTCGATCATCTTGGAGCTCGAAGTGCTAGTGCAAGACGGGGTTGCGCTGGTTGTTGAAGTTAACGAAGTGCTTGATGTGCGGTTTAGCGATGAACGCGTCGAACTGCCGAAGACCGAGGTGGATATGAAATCCTCAGTGACGCTTGGAGCAAAAGTATGCATTGTCGAATTGTGGAAGTAAAAGGAAGAGCTAGGGCAAGGGGTTGACGAAGTTGGCGTCGGTGTCGGTGTACACGTCGTATCAGTCGAAGTTAAGCCATGCAACGAAATCGAGGCATCCGTCACGGACTTCAACGATACCGTCGAGTTAGCACCAATAGGATAGCCGGACGAAGATGTACTCATAAACGACGATGTCGATATCGAGGTTAAATCTAACAAGGTTGACGATACCGTGCTAGCGTCAGCCGAGGGAGGTAATCCTACCCCCGAAGTACGAGTTGTATTCGTCCAAGGAGCCGAGCTACTACTTGATGCAAGGCTCAACGAGGTTGTGGCCGGACGAGAACTATTCGACGTGAGTGTCGATAGCGTTTTTGACGACTGTCCCCCAGGAAATCCCGGGCGTGTGCTTGACAATGTGCTTGGCAATGTGCTAGAGACATTTAAGGAAACGGATAAGGGATCATCCGAGACCGACGCCGTAGAAAGTGAAGCCGTGGCCGTCGAAGTGGAATCGGAAAGGGAAATTGTGAGTACCGATCCTGGATCGGAAACTGTCACTTGTGTGCTCAAAGCTGGGTCCTGTGACGACGGGTCGCCCCCAGTATCGCCAGATGCTGTAGATATCGACGAAGATAGTCCCCGTGAGACCGAAGACCCAAGATCCGGGACGCTTGACACCATCGAATTAAGTACGCTAGAAGGAGACGCACTGCCTACATGAACGCTATCGGTGGATGCGGCTGGTGTGGCCGATGTGGGAAAGCTAGATGACGACTGACCATTACTTCCTGAAGCGACAGTGGAAGTAGCGAGCGTTGTCAGAGTTGGTACAATAGTACTAGAAAACGCCGTAGCAGGCTGAAAAGAAGGACAAGCGACGCCGCATTGACAGGCTGAAATATAGGCTCGCTTGTTAGTATTGCCGCACTGTAGTACTCGAAGTCAGCGATTATTTGTCTCTGGGGGCTTATAAGAGGTCTCTAATAGGTGGTTCACGAGCCTCGTCCATAACAAAGAGGCAATAAGGGGTGACGGAGTTGCGCGATGTTATACATACTGCGGCTGTTGCTTGTGGCGGATAATTCGTTGCACCGTAGTGCCCGACGGTTGAGCAATAGTTCAAAGCTTCTGCAAGAGCAAGCGGAGAGTCGCATTGGAAAAGCGCATTATAACAACTGCCAGGCAATTAGTACTCCTCTAGGACTGCTTTCGATACCAGGGACATACTCATCGTGTTTACAGCCGGACTGTGCGCGGACGGCGAGTATGAACAGACATAGGATCCAGCTAGCTAACTGGTTTGACGTGATGGCGAACATCTTTGGTAGGTAAAGAGCGAAGTTGGTAGGTATATGAAGTAAGTGTATGAACAGCACGTCTAAGATATAACGAATGACTTATGTATACACGATAGCAATAAAAGCTTCTCCGCTGCGAGAGATATATTCGTTTTATATATACATATCATAAAGGTTTCTTCCAAGTGCATCATGGTAACTGAATCATCCATCACGATATAGGAACACAAGGTCTTCGATCAATGAATTATCAGACAGACCAGTACGACCCTCAGCCTCACTTCCCAGCTCCGTCTACCCTCCAAACCCAGGCTCGCGATATACACGCGACGCACCCTGCACAACCGTTCACGCCCAGCCGCGACCCAAAACAGGGCCGCGGTCCAAGACACCGCCAGGTGGGTGCCGCCGAGCCGAGCGCACGTCTCACGACGGCGGTGTCTACGGCAGATTTTAGGTGGCCAGGACTCGCTGTCTGTTGTCTCTCGGTTTCTCGCGAGATGACGTGTCTCAGCATCTGCGGAAATGCCAGGCCCTGGAGGCCGCGGGCCCGAGACAGGGTCCGGGATTTTTTTTGCCTGCTGGGGGAGATTCGCGATGGAGAGTCGTGTTGTGGTAAATGTCTCGAAGCCGGGGTGGGAGAGCTGGGGAGGGAGGGAGGTAGGTTAGGTTGGGGAAGGAAGGAAGTTAGTTTGTGGTAGTTTGTGGACGGACGGCGGAGATGGAAATTAAACGTGGTGGTGGTGGTGGTGGTGGTGGTCTGGGGAGGCCTCGCGTTGTTATGGTATGGAATAGGGGGGAGGCGTTGGATATCTGCTGAGATGCTGTTGCTTGTGTAGGTTAGATATTACAGGTGTAGTCGCTAGATGATGATGATGACGATGATTTAGTCATTATGAGTCTCGAGGTGGGTGAAGCTGTGTGATGGTGTACGAGTCGTGGTGGATCTGGTTGCTTCACATGTTCTTTTCAATTTGATCCTCACTTGTATGTATCACTTGTCGATAGGAATATTATTTCAGCCTAAACCAACATACGTAGGTATATATGTATTTGTGGTTGTCTTCGAAACACTTCCTAGTCTGTCATTAATGCGATGTTGTTGATTTAATGTACTTATTCTCGTATAGGCTGTATGTAGATACTCGAATAACACTTCTCATCTCCCAAGAAATTGAAAGAACTCCAGTCTCTATTCCAGACAGTTCTTCTTATATGGACTAGGCACCTACGTAAGGTACTCATTCATATTGCAACATTCCCATAACTAACGGGACAAGTATTATTTTTTTTTTTTCGAATGGAGAATAATCCAAACTCTACCTCAGCCCCATCAAAGGGCCACGCAGGGCTTTGTATCAGCAACCCGGAGTTGCGTATAAAGTTGTATGCCATCGTGACTTTCAAGAAGTACTTGGCTAGTACCTCTAGATTCATCAGATCCCCCTCCCCTTGCTATTTGAAATCCTCCCCAGGGCATCCATCCATTGCCCTATATTATATCATAAACTTCGCATGCATCTCGTGACGATCCTTTGATTTTCCTTCGTTGCTAGTTACCCCGTAATAACTCAGCTGTGCTCTACATATAAGCCATCCCGAGTGACGCATCTTACTATGGTATAAGTAGGCTAGGTAGATTTACGGGTATAAGCCAGGGTGTGTGTATGTATATCGCCGATTTCGTGTAACCTACCTGTATATCTTACCTACCTACCTACCTACCTACACATCCCGCGTCAGCAAGGCTCCCGCGCGGGACAGGGACATCCAATCTGTCCAGTCTGACTTCCCAACCGGAGATACGGGATTATCACCGGTCCTATACTATGCAGGTCGTTATATCGCAGCAGCTGCAGTCAGGCTGGGCTGGCTAGGTATATCAACAGGGCGGCGGCTTAGTCTGAGCACTTAATTGTCCGCCCTTCTCCATTGGACTAATAACGAAAAGCCCGCCCTGGCAGCGGGATTCCTGGCAGGCGATCTCGGCTTTTGGACGGACGGACGGCTCGTACGACGTCGAAAGTCCGACCGCCGGGAGTAGGTAGGTACCTATGTAGGTATGTATGTATGAGGTACATACACACATACATACATACATACATACATCTGTGCCTACCTATACTCCAACGAGGTCCGCTTTGACACCAAGGGTGCGGCAGAGGTGATCCCAGAGCCGTGTTGTTGGAACTGGCTAGTTGCGGGCGATGTGTGCGTGTGTGTGTGTGTGTGGAGATAGGCTGGGCTTAAGGCTTGGTGAAGGGTAGGTAGGTAATTTACGGTACTTGTGTATTTGTGAAGTTGGTGTGAGGGGAACGTGATGTTTCTGTAGTAGGTAGTAATTAGAGAATGATCGGCGTTAAGGCGTTTGGATATGGGATAATTAATTACCTAAGGTAGCCTAGCAAACTTTATATTCTCGTCATCATTTAAAATCCGCAATTGTAAGGCTTAGTAGCAATAATGTGAATTCCGCTAGTGGCACGAGACGGGGTTGGACGGGTTTGATTATTCATCATTAATAACCTTTTTTTGGTTGATATACTAATAAGATACTAAACCGGACAATATAAGCACAATATAAGCATTGGCTAATAAAGTCCCGACTATCTTTTAAGAATTAAAATATCCCAATTCAGCCAGGTCCGTAAGTTACCTACTAGGTTACATACTTTGCTAAACTTATAGAAAGTTATATTCCCGTTATATTTCCGTACTCTATTATAGTACATAGTAGTTATTCGGTAAACCTCCCTCTTTAGTCACCTTACCCACAAGCAGGCAGGTCGAACTCTCGGTCCAAATAAGTAGTAGGATTCTATTGTGCATACCTTGTACTCTACGTACGTAGGGGTGGGCGATGACTGAAACTCTCATAAGACGTGATATGTACATAAGTCAAAATCCCGTGGCGGGGGAAGTTCTGTACCTATGTGGGGGAAGTTCTGTACCTATGTGCAATTACTAAATCCGTGATTATACTGAATCAGGACATACTAAACTTGTCCGCATCGGCTCCGCAAAGTGGCGCATGAGAGAACCCCACCGGCTCCAGGCTCTGATGATTCATCAGACGAGATATACGTAACGATCTAACTAGCTCGAGCGGTAGTTTGCTACGGAATGAGACGATTTGTCTTATCAAGAAGCATTATGCTGCAGTAGTATAATTTCACGATTTGTCATGACAGAGAATTTCCATAGCGCTTTAACATTGGCGATATGTAAGCCCGTGCGATTTGTTTATGTACCTACCTAGGTAGTTTAGCCTTACCGGACTACATATTCTTAATTACGCTTCAAGCAGTTAGTATCTGCGTGCTAGAGCAGTCGGTAGTGAGCCGAGCTAATACTATTTAGGTAGGTATGTATGAATGTCGCCATGGAGTTACGTCCGAAGTATAATTGGTAATCGCATCTGTTATGTATGTTGTTTCTACCATGTATGTAGATGAGATGGCCGATCGACGCAAGGGTTTGATAGGAACCGCAAGCGCGTGCATAAACCTCGCGCATAAAATGGGAAAGAGAGAGAGAGTGTGTGCTTTATAACAAATAACTAGTTAACTAATGGTATAAACTTGGGCATGTTTATTACATAACTAGTTGGGTATACATATTATATTATAGTTAAGTAGGATTAAACGTGTAGTTAACCTAGTTGTTTTATGTTTTATATTTTATGCATGCATGTCCAGATCCGCAGATAAGATCCTTTTATGCATGTTTTCTCGGGGATTGATAAAGAATTATGATGGATCATCGGGGCCGAGACGAGCCCTACCCGACCGAGATTACTACGATTCTTTTTAGTTTCACTACACACAAACACCACCATGATGGCTATGCTCATTAGGTAGTTCCAGATAATTACGCGCATTGGTATCACGATGTATCATCTTCATCCATTGGTCCTAAAGTAAGATTCTTCAGCTAGGAATCAGGCACCGTCCTTACTAGTCGCCGCTGGGCAACTTGGCGCCGTGCGTAGATAAGAGAATAATTGGACGCTTCTGGGCAGCAAGTACCGAATAACGTGGGAATTTGAGATCAGCCCAGAATGAAAAACTAAAAAATAAAAAACCCCAACCGGGATCGGGCCATTTCTCAATCCCGCTCTCCGCTGGTTTTCGGACCCCGACCCCGAGTCTGAAGTTGGTGGAGGGGGACAGTCGAGATAAAACCCAACAGCGAAGTTATGCTCCGGAGCGTTTAGTCCTTCTCTTTTATTGCTGTTCCTCGGTGTCCGTGCCTGACCGACTAATTGCATGCATGATTTGTGTCCACGTGGACAACTATTGCGTTCCCAATCTCGTTAGGAAAAGGGCAGAGACAGATATAGCTCCTGGGTCGAAGTTGTATACTTAGCTAGGCTAGGTATGTAAGGTATGAAGTATTTATGTAGGTAGGTCCAGGTCCAGGATGGGTGCCGATGACGAATTAGGTGCTACCGCTGCGATGGTACCGCTGTTATTAACTGCCATTTTACATTTTACATTTTACATATTTATCGGGGAGTCGCCCCCAAACGGCACGTACAGGATATATCATATAATATGTATGTGCGTGGTGCGTGGTGTAGTATCTAATGTATAATGTGTAAGTCGGGTATTTATGCGGAGGCCGTGTGCTCCCGCACCCGGGCTGTTCATTTGCCCAGACGGCCAGGGAGAAGGAATATGTATGTATGTACCTACCTAGGTTAATATATAAGAAAACGAATACGTGGGAATTTCACTGACCGCCCAATACCTTAGGTACCTAGGGATGCCGTATAGGTGGTTATTTCGCGGCATCGTGGCTGAGCTTCACAAAGACGCATCCGCAACGAACCATATATGATTGATTTATTTGTTTACATGGTAGTTACTTAAAGGTACATGATGAATCGATTTCACACGTTCTCCGGGGTACTTCCTCTTTCTTGCCTAGGATACCTAGGTACCTAGGTAGGTAGGTACAATACCCAAGGTAGGGACCAAGAAATACTGAGGATTGCTAGTGTAACTGACCTGTAGGCT